CCAAATCTGCACACCATTCACTGACAATGACAAGCTTGACGAAGAAAATCTGGAAAAATCCTACCCATGACTTGCTTATTTCTTACATACCTGTTGCATTTGTTTCTACAGTGATGTTTGAGGGGGATTTTATGTTTTGTTTATTTATTTAGTTGCGGCACACCTTCCACTTTCATCACTTTCAGTTAATGCATGTGCAACAAATTCAGGAAAGAGAAAAATAATTTGTGTCCTGCGCCCTGTGATTCGGATCTAAAATGTAATGGGTTCTTTCTTGACCCATGTTGCACCCTCCCAACAAGTTTCATGAGAATGCGGCCTGTAGTTTTTCCATAATCCTGTCACAAACCCACAAATGGCCCGAAAACTACTCCTTGGCGGAGGGGAGAAAACAAGATGACAAATAACAGAAATAAGATGCCTTGTTGTATTGTGCAGTGGGGACTTACTGAACCTGCATCACAATGAGGTGTAGCCTAGCCACAAGTCTGAGTCTTGTGAAGTTTCTAATTTTCAATTTCAAGGTTTTGATTAAACTCACTAGTGATTTTGAAGGCAGTTGGGGTGAAGAGTTCTTACTTCCACCAGCTAGGGATGCCAGGCACTCCCAGGCCTGTTGGGTCACATAGTCCCTGCAGTCGATCCGCAGGGTTTCCTCTTGGCTTGGATTATAGGACAGATACATCAGCTATCAACAACAGGCTGAATCTATGGCAGGTGGAGTGTTTCGGGTGGATTGTAGCCATGCTAGTAAAAAAGTCACTATGGATCGGTTTGGTTCATGTTCGGTCACGCCAGCTGGGCTAGCCGGCTTGACATGGTGCTTTATGTTCCTCTTAGTGAACAGGGTGACAGGGTAACAGTGCTTCAGCGTACATTAACTGTGTCGTGCAGAAATATGCGGCCTGAGCAACACTCTGTGGAGTACTGCAAATTATTAAACAACGGACTACTGGACAATGCATCTGCAAACTGACTCAATGTCACTCATTGTCACTGTTTATTTGGTCCGATGTTGAGATTACTTACTTAATTCTCTTTGTCCCCTGTGACGAATAAGGCCACTGTGAGCTACCTCCATTGATCCCATCTTTGGCACGATGTTGAGCCTCAACCCTACTTAAGTTCATCTTGTCTAGCTTGTTCTGTGCCAAGTCATTTCTGGTCTTCCGGGCTTTCTTATATCTGAATGAGAAAAGCTCCGTCTCTCGTCACTTGACCACAGCCACTCCACTGACGGTTTCTTCCAGGAATTGGTCGTCTCGCTGAGAACTTGTTTTGCTTCCGATATCTCATAAATCAGGTTTGGACTCAAACATTTTGGCATCCTGGCTCCCAGCAGGCTTTCACCATGGGTGGGCATACTGTCACTTTAGAGTTCTCTCAAGTGCTTGTTAGGCAGGACTTTTTAGTTTCTATAACAGTTTTTTTTAATGGTTGGCATTGCTAGCACAGTGCCCAACCCCCAAATGTCAGCTGCACCAACTGTGCGTATCCTCTTGTTGATGATTTTTTTTTAAAGTATTTTTTTTGGGCTTTTATTGCCTTTATTTGATAGGACAGCTGAAGACAGATAGGAAAGGGGGGCAGAGAGAGAGGGGATGACACGCAGCAAAGGGCCGCAGGTCGGATTCGAACCCTGGGCCGCTGCATCTACCCACTGAGCTAACTAGGCGCCCTTGTTGATGATTTTGACCCAATCCCTTTCTCATCCACCTCCTTCAAAAACATAACCTGATATTTGAAACTGTTTGGAAAAGGGCAGACGCCAAAATACTTGTCAGGTTATTTGATGAATCAGCTGTCTATCTATTCTGGGCAAACCTCCACCAATCATATCAACTAACCATATAACGTAGTCGAATTCTTTCTAAAGCCAGTTGGGAGAAGAGCGAAAAGATTTTTCCATCGGGGAAAAAAAAAAACCTTCAGTGACATTCCTTGCTCTTCTTTCAATGAAAAAACTCTCCAGTTCTGATAAAACTGATGCTAGCTACATCTACGCTAACCTCTTAATGAGCCATCATTGTTGTTTAATGAACAGAGTCCTCTCACTGCTGATTGGTTGGGTACCACTGTAGTTTGGTCTCAAATGTAAAGATTGAAGTCTGGCAGGATGGATTCTCACGTGATTTAGTGATCTTGATTGTTTCATAATCGCGTATTCCTCATCCATCTCCTTGTTTTTGTTTGCATGAAGAAAAGGAACTTATTAGTCATTTTCCTGTTGCCTCATCATTCAAACATTCCCACATTTCTAGTGTTGTTTTGAGAATTTACAGCTTTCAGCAGTTGTTCCTCAAGGCAGCAGATGTTTCAGATCATGCCTCTTAATTCACTATTTGTTTTCATTCATTCTGTGGGTATGAATCCCACCACAGCAGCAGAGTTTGCTGTTGGGCAAAAAAATGAGAATATACTGATACATTGCTCCAGGGTTATAGATAATACTATCGTCACTGCATGTTTACATATTCCAGCCCATGTGAATGTATCCTACAAAGAGCAGGTAGGACCGACCGACACACGAGGACATAAGCAGCAATTTAATTTCCTGCAGAGAGCATCCCATACAGTTCACTGGATGAGTCATCACGGCCGCACAGGTAGTGCTGAGCTCTGGCATTTAAGCACTTTCAGAATGACTTTTGGAGTCGTGCAGAGCTGAAATTCCTCTTCATCTGTCTTTCAAATAAATACACCTAGACTACACATTCCTAATTGTGAGCATATGGCGAGGAGATATTGAGATATGGTGTCCTGTGTGTGCATGTGTGTGTTGTGATTCACTTAAATAGGTCAGACAAGCAGTGGACAGCCTGCTTCTGGCTGCGCTAATCTAGTATCCCATCAGTATTACAGCGTGTGGACAGATTTACTATTTTTACTATTGTAGAAATTCCACAGTTTACACTCCTCTGTCTAATGTGTGTTACCTGTCAGTGATGTATGACGTTCTGCCCCCTGCTGCAGAACTGTAGGCTCAGAGCTGATTGATGATGGAGGAGGGTTGCTAAGAAGGTAAACTGTGACAAAGGGCACGGTGATGTCAGTGGAAACTGCAGGATTTGCTGTCGTGTCTGAGATTGTGACAACATAATTGTAATGGAAATTGAAACAAAGGGATGATTACAACCAGCCCTGTAACTGGAAACATTTAGTGTTTGAATCATCATTGAAATAATCATCTGTGACCTTTCATATAAATAAATCTGCTTATAAACACTATCCCTGATTGATAAAACGTAATAGTGGATGAACCTATAGCCAGGAAGCAACATCTGTTTAACTGTATGCAAACACATGGTGTCATCCCTGTTCACTGCACATGTTCCCTCTGGTATTTCATATCAAACACTTCTTCAGTCTGAACAAAAAATGTATCTTGTAGCTGGTTATTTCTGATACATTTTGCAATGGCTTTAATATTTTAGGTACCTTTTTTGCAAATAAGTAATCAAATCAGGAAATATTGCCCAGCTGGTGAAAACTGTTACAAAGTTTGAACCCCTCAAGCTCCTGTGTGATTTATTGTTTTTTACATTAACATTGGATCAATTTGTTAAAGGACCAGTGTGTTCCCCAACTGGTCGAGACAGACGACCACCCACCTAGAGCCGGAGGATCTGTCCTAGGTTTCTGCCTTTTAACAGGCAGTTTTTCCTTGCCCTTGTCGCCAAGTGCTTGCTCATGGTGGTACTGTTGGGTCTCTGTAATTAATGTTAAAGAGTTCGGTCTAGACCTGCTCTATTTGAAAAGTGTCCTGAGATAACTTTTGTTATGAATTGGCGCTATACAAATAAAATTGAATTGAATTGAATTGAATTGAATTGAATTAGAGGCATCCTGCGGTGCAGTTGCAGATTCCAACTCACTCGCTTCACCGAAACATAAAATGGTTCAACATGGCGACTGCCTCAGAAGGTGACCCATGGCCTTTAGATGAAAATGGCTCATTTTAAGGTAACAAAAACACAACAATTCTTATATTCAGGTGATTATATACTGATGAAAACATAGCTATGATTATTATTTTCCATTTCTAACTATAGATCTTTGTAAATGTTACACACTGCATCTTTAATGTAATGTGTAGTGTCTAGTTGGAGACGAGGATTAAAGAATTATCACATAATTGCACAATTCTCCTCCGCTCCTCCACAGTGGATCCTCTCAGCATACCGTTTTGGTTTCCCAGCCTGCAAATGTCACCCCAATCAACCTCATTTTAACAGCAGCAGACAGCTATTTTCAGCTGATAAAACCACTGTACACAGTGCCCTTCAGCTTTGCTTACCTGTTTCCTACTGGTCAATCACAGTACTGCAACTAAACAAATCACCTCCTCATTGTAACAAGAGGTCTCAAAAACTGTTTGCAGGACACCGCAAGCTACAAACAAGGCCAGTTATTACTCTTTGTGTTGTGCATATGCCTCTGTGTGTTGTTATCTCAGTGTAATATGGGACATGCTGGTGGAGCATTCATCCAAATTAATTCATTTAAACACAGTTTACCTGATTTGAATCCTGTGCGTGAATGGCGGACTCTGCCACTAACAATAAATACTAATATAAAGAGAGGAACCTACAGAATGGAAATACACTTGATGGTTATTACTGAAAAAGGCCATCAATCATAAATAGAGAAACGTATGGGCTTTGATATATAATTAGTTTGAATGATTAGACTGTTTCCTTATTATCACCATTTGATATAATACAATAGTAACCCAGTACAGTATAATATATGTCATTAGTTGCTGTAACCAATTGTCTGGTAGGGCTTTCTGAGGTGAAAATCTCTGATAGTGATGTGTTACTGAATGTATCCTAATCGTTTGCAATAAACACAAGAACTGGGCAGTTGGAATCAATAGTAAGAACAGAAAATGAAGACTAATGTAGAAGTGATCGCAGGAAATGCAGACCAAAAAACAGCAGAGAGAAGAAGAAAGGGAACTTATTCATTGTTTGTGTGTTTTACTTTCTTTCTTCCAGGCTTCAAGTGCCCTGTGTGCTCCAAGTTTGTGTCCTCAGATGAGATGGATCTTCACCTGGTCCTGTGCTTAACCAAACCCAGAGTGACATATAACGGTAGGTCTGACAGTTCCATTTGAACTTAATGTACAAATAGAAAATAAAGAATGCAAGAACATGCAAGCCTGGTTAGCATGTGAGAAAAGCTACAGAAAAATCAGAAAGCTAATAAAAAGGGGATCTAAATATGCTGAATTATAATTGGATTCAATATATTGCTTTATTGTGTAGGTTTGCAAAACAAAAAAACTGTGATACTGAAATATATAAAAATATCACAACACTAATATATGCAGGACATTATGTGCTAATAATGACACCCTCCAACAGGCTTAGAATTATCTAAGAGATGATAATCACTGGTGCATACAAGAAATGACCAACTTTCCTCATGAAACTAGACAATCACAGCTTTCTGGTTATGTAACTTGATCCTCTGTTTGCAGTCGGCTTCCCTGTGAAATCTTGTGTAATCTTTCTGTAATATTTCCAAAACTGTAACCTAACACTGTGGTTGCCTCGGGGCAGCTTCTTCTTTTATTTATCAATAATCTGTTTTACTCTTTTGTACTTAATGATACCGCAGCCATCATTAATGTGTCTGGGGGAACTTTCCATCCCTCTGATAAGTGTTCTTTTTATGTATATAGTTTCGTTGTTGTTTCCTGTACTAAACCACTCTGGCCTTTGCTCCTGAGACCCAGCTTACTAATATGGGCTGGTGTATCTGTTCTATAAAGGTTGTTTAAAAAAATCCCTACATTGAGGTTACAGTTACAATCAGGTTTTACAGCCGATTTTACTGACTGCTGAGTCATATCTTCCCTCAACTGCAGAATAAATTCTCCAGTCAGACATGTAACATGATAAAAGTATATGGCCCCTTGTCTGCCTCTGCTTTTATAGCACTGAGCCCGGTACTGGTGTTGAGTTCAGCCAACATTTCTTTTTTTTAAATAGAAGCATAGCATACCCATTTTTGATAAGGGCCCCTTAAATATGGTTAGTAATGTATTGTATTGTGACCCAGAGTTTGTACTGAGTGGGACATTTTACTGTTGACACATAAACTTGTTCACTAGAGTTGTTTACTGGTAAGAACCTGGCGATACGATATGTATCACAATACAGGGGTTACCATCCAATAAATCGCGATACTGTAAGCAAGGTGATATATTGTGATTTTTAAAAAAAACTATAATAATTTAGGAAAAATGTACACAGGAAACACCACAAAATATAGAAAATATCCTGATACAATATTTTTCAGTATTTTCTTGCACAGCTATTGTTGAACTCCCGAATACACTGTTGTCAGGGCAAAAAATTAGTGTCATTTACCAGCCAAACGGTAAAATATTTAAATTGGTGGTAGATTTGCTTTACTTACCAGCCCAAAAGAAATTTGATCATTCACTGTGCAACACGTTTGTTACTCTACCCTCAAAGCCCGGCTGATTGCAGTCAGACTCACTTGAGAGCAGAGGCACCACAGACAACCTCTTCAATACTGTCCTACACCCCCATTGTTGAATTTATTACACAAACAATGGAAATGTACATGCTTATGCTTAGTGGGCATGCAGATCATAGAACAGGCACTATGAGTTTATCCACCCTTGTTTTTTCCACTTGGCCCATATGTGGGGCCCGTTTGTTCATCGCAATCACGCTCCTGGCCAATATTTGAGACCCAGATTTTATTTGATTAGCGGCTTTCTTTTAGGCAAAATACGGCCATTCATATAATTATTAAGTATTTGCTTACCTTAATAGAGAGAGGGGACATGGGTTGAATACAGAGATGGAAGATGCAGGACATCCCAGGGAGGGACAGATGAGGAGAAGAAAGAGAGGAGCCAGGGAATGGTGTGTAAAGGCGAGTGGAGCAGGAGAGGACCGGGGAGAGGAAAGAGAGAAAGATGAAACAGGCTTCCAAAGACTTCCAAGCACATGAAGTCTGGATGAGACCCACATTTTCTGCATTTAGCATTTCAAATAGTTCTGGTGTTATGTTGACGGATGTCTTCCCAATTGGAAAAACAACTGAGCCAATCAGAGCTTTGTAGCTGGGATTACAAATAGGGACTTCAGCTTCCTGTGCCAGAGCCAGAAAAAAGGCACCAAAATGGCCACAACCATGGATGAGATCAATGCAGTTGTACAGGTTGATGTAAGTGAACAACTCAAATCTTTACATTGCTTTGACTGACGTAAAAACATTAAGTTAACTGGCAATTTATTCAGATAAACAGGCCCATCTTTGGCTTCCTCCTGTTAGTTGTTGACAACCATGTACACTGACAGATATCTTTTATGATTAACTAAAATCTGATAACAATATCGGCCTTGCAGATCTGGCTGTATCAGTCTCAGTAACACACCAAAGTAATCAACAGTATGTTCAATTTCACAGTTAGACTGGGCTCAAGCGGAGCCCTTATCTCTCTGAATTTCAGGTTTTAAGGTGGAACTCAACTGATGTTTACACATTAGTCTATTTTAGACCTCGGGGAGTACCACTGTATATGTGTAAAAAGTTGTATAAAGCCTTTAGTGTCTATGTCTATAGTGATCTGTGTAAAATCTGATAAATGTCTTCAACTGATCACTTTAGTCAGCGTTGGTTGGGGCTGAAGACGAGGCTGACAATGAGAACGACCTGAGAACAATGCATGGAATAAGAAAAGACTGTCTCATGTGCCCCTATTATCAATTTTGATATTTATTTTTGTCCCTCTTGAGCCTGCAGTGCTAACCCTATTGAGTAAGTCGGAGTAAAACCATGTTTTCTTACACACCTCTAAAATCAGCATTGTGACCCCCCCATGAGGCTTTGGCTACCATTAGTGGAGGTCCCGACCCCCAGGTTGGGAATCTCTGTGCTAATGCACAAGATGCAATTAAGAAAATGAACAGTGGGGACAGTATACGAGGGTGTGTGTGAGGTCAGGAGTAGACTGACCAAATGACAACAACAATGGCACAAAGTTCTAAAAAGAAACGAATAGATCTGGCACCGCTATGGCCTCTACTGCCATCATTTCAGCATAAACACAGTGACCCTTTTTGAGTGTTGCTGTGTTGAGCTATGTTTACATCGTGCAAAACTGGTTCTGACAGCATATAGTCTACTGTTGATCAGGAAGGATTCTGCCCTGATCTGCTCCCTAGCAGCTATACTCACTTGTATGTGAACAGTGCTGCTCATGGTGCAGTTGCGTGTCTATTGGCAAAAATCAAGTAAATCACAAGGCTACCCTCTGGCTCTGGTGTGAATCCGATGGGACTTGTGGGGATTCTGTCTGTTTTTAAGGTCACTCATTACAAATCACCTCATCCTGCGTTTCCTTCTCAGCATGGATGACCTACTTCTACTCCCCATGTCTGTCTGCCTGTATAGGAACATGACAGCACTGAAACCTTTTTATGACTGGAAATGAACAGTACAGCAGACATCTGCATCTCTGGTGTGTTCATGTCATGTCTGTATTTGAGTAAAAGTTTTGAATGTATTGTTTCAAGTTATTTCTCTGCTCAAGTCTGAAGACATTTCAACTTGTACATGCACACTTTGGTCTACATTTCCCTCTCAGCTGAATGTTTTGGGGGGAACGCTGTTCCTCTTCGAGTAAGCTGATTTCCTGTTCAGCTAGCATAGATTCCTCTCAGTCTTCCTGTCTATTAGTCATATGGTGATCTGATCGGTTCCCTACAGTATGAAGAGCACCAGTCAGCAAAGACAGTCTCTGAGATACTACACTTTCTCTAAGAAACCTCTTCTTAGATTGTCTGATAGAGTTGATATCTAGGCTCTGTGTTCACAAAACCTGCTTGGTTTAAGAGTTGGTGTATGTGTGTTAACCTATCTTGATAAATCTGTAGTTTTATTCAGTTAACGGTAAGTCTGCAACTTGCCTCTAGTTGCTGTAACTTCCGGGTAAACCCGGGATGCATCAGAGAGCGAGGAAGGAAGTTGGTAAATGTGAATGTTACCTGAATACAATCTGAATACATTACCTCGTCTGTGCCTGAGTCATAGTGGTGGAAGAAAATTATGAAAAGTTAGGTGCGACGCAGTGAGGAGCAACTGTTCCACGTGAAACGCAAATCAGAGTGCTATTTTCTGTATTTCCTGTAGAAACAGGCTGCGGTAGCCAAGAGTGCTGTGTGTTATGTCCCCCAACTTGGCCGGGACTGGGAGCTCCCAGTGAACTGTACGTCCACACTGGGACTGAATGCAGCACCCAGTGTCAATGTATGACACCTGGAAATTAAGTAGAGAGGTGTTTTTATTGTTGACTAATGTTAGCTGCACGGGCTAACAGCAGCGAACATTACTGTTGGCGACAGTTAGCTTCTTTTAGCAACAGGTCCATCTGTGCGTTTAAAGTAACACATGTCACATGCTGCAGGTCGTATTAGCTGTGACTAATTCCGTGAGTAACTTCATGACAACAAAAGTAAACTGTTTCTGTCCCACAGAGTGATACTCTCTCACTGATGGCATCACATCAGTTTCATCCTCCCACTTTAACTTTCATTTGAGCTTATCAGCTTAATGGTTCAGAATCAGGACCTCCTGTATTTGGATATAGATCATGAAAAACACAATGTGCCAAATTTAGTAGGCTGCACCTTTTGTAATCAGCGTGCCAGCTCACATGTTAACTTGTTAACTTGTTATCGTGTGTGTGTGTGTGTGTGTGTGTTCCCACGTCATGGTCACTTAGCCCAGTGATCACAACTGCTCTGGGGTGTTCGTGGCCATTCTAATAAGATAATCAGCCGCTCAGGCCGTTCTACTATCTGCATGCATGCAACGCAGACAGACAGACAGACAGACAGACAGACAGACAGACTCATGTGACCCTGAAGATCTGTAATCAGCATGTTTATGTTCCTCTCAGTTGTTTGCTTTTAGCCATCCAAGGACAGTCCCCCACTATAAAACCACACACACACACACACACACACACACACACACACACTCACACACACACTCCAGCATGTGCAATATATCAATCTAATCATTTCCAAGCAACATTTAATGTTTTCTCTTGATAATCACGTATTGACTGTGTCATTGTAATGTTTCCGAACAGATACAGTATATAAACATGTATGTTTGCTACTCAGGACTTTATACTAAGATGATGATTATGATTGTAACAGCCAATCAGAAATGATGCTGCTCGAAACCAGGAAACAGGAAATGATACAGGTGAAAACTCCCCAGACCTCATGTCAATATGACTTGTGGTTTGGCCTTGAAGTTATGTTTATTTTCTCACAAACAGACACACACACACACACACACACACACACACACACACACACACACACACACACACACACACACACACACACACACACACACACACACACACACACACACACGTCCCTAAATATATCCACCACTGGTTCATGACACAGACACACAAACAGCAGCTGTCGTGTGTGCGTAACATCACAGCTCCCCCTGCCTGCGTGCCTCCCTCGGACTGCATTGTAGAGTGAGAGATTTTTCCTGACCTCGTTTGAGATTTACAACCTGCTGTGAAACAGACCGATGGCACTGTCAGAGCCACGTTGTTCCTGCTAGTAAAGGGCCGAGACAGAGAAACTGCTGCTCAGGGGTCAGCCTGCTGCAGCAAGAGCTCTCTCCTCGAAGCACCTCCTCATCCAGGATCCCTGATCCTTCCTGCTGGGCTCATTACAGAGGTCAAAGGTCAGCAAGACATTTTTTAACCATTGTTGTCTGGCTTGATAACAAGCCAATATAGTTTTTTATAAAGGAACCCATATCAAACCTTTGAGGCTGAATGCACAGATACATGATGCTCTGTCACAGTAGTTAGTGATGCACCATGGTGGGACGGTACGACTCTAAAGTGATGAGGTTTAGCAGCTCTTTGAGGCAGAAAGGGAAAGTGTCCGTAGAGGCTGCTGAGCCCGGTTCCATTGCCAACTTGCCCGGCTCTGGTAAGAGTATCTGCTGGAGGTGTAAACACCAATACTGTCCCAGTCTGGGCCGCAGGGCTAACTGAGCTGAAACATTTACTGCAGGGCTGAATAATAATGATAGAACTTGTGAACTGGAGAAAGTCTTTTTGGGCCAGTGTGCATCACGTGAACCTGCACACACCCACAAACAGAAAATGGACACCTCCTGTCTCACTTTGTCCTCCAGTGTGTGTACTGATGGGGTGTGGACAACAATAACGCTTGGGAATCAAACATTATTAACAAAGCCAATATCTGCGCCACCAGTATTATTATCCTGTCTCTTTGTCTGACTGTGAATGAATGGCTGAGCGCCACTGACAGTACATTGACGATATTTTCCCCTCAGCTGAGCTGGATGCCATGTGCTGCAGCCCATAATAACTGGCTTTTCCAGGCCTATGTGGGTTAATCCACAGTTACATAAGGCCACTTCTAATGACTGTGTGTTTTGCTGCAGGTGATGGGGTTAATGGTGCGTACACTGACTTCCACTTTAGACCCGAACCAATGCTATGCATAGCAGGAAAAGATGAATATTGTTGAGTGTGTATTACACACACTGTTAACACAGAGAGTGTATACAGGGGTTGGCAGAGGTTGAGTTTCCCTGGTGGCCAACCCAGACTTTTGATTGGTCAGTAGTTACACTGATATGAAAAGATGGACCAGCATGTAGGATGTAGGATTTGTTGGCATCAAGTGGTGTAGTTGCAGATTGCAACCCCTTTGTCTCACCCTCCTGTTCCAACTGTGTAGGAGAAACAACAGTGGCTGCAAAAGGTCCTATCTATAGTGTTTGGTTTGTCCCTTCTGGGCTACTGCAGAAACATGGCGGACTCTGTAGAAGACCACAGAAAGTAGTGCTGGAGACACACAGTATTTTATTTATATATATATATATGTACCAGTTAAGAAGTAGTATTGACATATCACCTATAACATAACACATTGCTTTATAATGCTTCATCTATCATTTACACCACTATGTTACAATACTATATTACTACCCCTTATTATATTTGATCATTTGATTTTTTTATATCACATAGTATTTTTGATTTCTATTAAATATATATGTACTCTTTTATTACTGTATATTGTAAATAGTACAAATACTGCACATATATGATATATAACACTATATACTCTATACTATATATGTGAATATGTACATTGTATTTAGTACTCATACTTATGCACTTATATCTAATTTAATATAATACTCTTATAGAATATAAATTATTATAATATATACTTTTACTTCAGACATTCAACTAAACAGTGTGTCTCTTGAACAATGGAGGTTTTTGCTCTCTGTGTGTTAAATATATGCTGGTTGAGTATGTGTGTGTGGGGCATGGGTATGTGGGTCTCTTACGATAGGCCCAGGTCAAATTTTTAAGGACGACTGCCCCCTGACCTGCTCTATGGATCTCTCAGTGCAACATACTGTAAATGGACAGCTGGCCAGGTTGCCATGAGTTTGGCTTTGGATAGTTATTGTCAGCAGGGGAGTTTTCCCCTAGCACCACCCCAAGGACAAAATGTGAACTTTGCACACAAGACACCACAATCTAGTGGGAAGGTTCCAGTAAACTTTGATTTTAATGACCTTGTGGACTTTCCTCAACCTCCACCTTCAAAGCAAATATCATATATTAAATATCATTAAGTAGAGGAAAATAATGGAACCAGCTTAATACTGGACTTTGGAGACGGATACCGATACCATTATTTCGTAAGTAATAAATCCAATCAAACTAAATAAAACAAAAATGATCCCAAAGATTTTGGATTATAAATAAATAATAAACTGTTGTGATAAAACATTTTAAAAGGTGTGTGGCAGAATATTCTAAAGAAACTTCAGTACCAAAGATGAGTAACAGTGTATTCAGTATACAGTAACAGTGACTTTTAAAGCTCCCCCCGAGTCAGAAATCAGTGTTTCTTCTTGTTCCTACAGTGTGCTGTTTGAATGCTGTCTGTGCAGTTTGACTCTAGAAGGATCTACGGGCAGGATTTGTTGCCACATTCCAAGCACACTATTTGTATGTATCTTCTAAAAGGGCATTTTTAAGAAGTAAACCTCAATAGAAAAATGTTATAAATAATAATAATTTATAAAGTCAGCGTACATTCTGGAAGAAGGAGTTTGGCTCTTCAAAGAACGGTACTGGTAGGGAAAAACGAAAGCCTGTTAACCTAAATGCATTCATTTTTTTAAGTATTTTTAATGTGTACGTTGTTTGTCTGATGAGGTAAAAACGAGCACAAATAAATGCACATATTTTGTCTCATAAAGTGAGTGCACGATATGCTAAAAAGAAAAGTCGTATTTATGCACACCGATTATTTTGACAGATATTGCAATTGTGATATGATTCACAATTAGTGTGGGAATGATCATTTCTGCATCACAATTGACTTTTATTCAGCTAAAATATATTAAATATATAATATCATGATGATATGACATGGTCTGTACCAGACATCTGGAAATTCAATACATCTGGAGAACAAGATTAGTATGTCAGGGCATCTCTGCAGCACTACAATACTCCATTATAATGCTGTTTTTTCCACATTTTACCTTTATCAAAACACTGCATATTGCACTTGACCATATTGTGATTTCCATAATATTGCCATTAATGGTGCAGCCCTAACGCTTCTGTTTATTTTACTGAGAGAAAAAAATGAAAACCAGTTAACCTCAGTGCCTTTATTTGGTTTTATTTATCAAGTATTTAAATGTGTTGTGTTTTATTTTTTACTGATGAAGAAGTTGTGATCTGTCAAACGTATGTCTCTATGGCTGCTTTACTTGTTCCAGAAAAATCCGACGTGATGCAGAAATAGCAGTAAAAAAGCTCAGGAACATCCGTTCATGCACAAATTTTCTCTTCACACTGAGAATTGGGTCGCCATGGTTTGTCATTTTTTAAAAGGTGTGTCCCCAGGAAAAAAGGTTTGGGAGACACTGCTGTACAGTATCTCTATTGATCTGGTAGAGTAGTTTTATTATGTCCCTTTTCTGAAGTGTTCCATTATGATCCTGACTTGTCCGTGGTGTGATGTGTCTGCTGTCTTACAGAGGACGTCCTGACCAAGGATGCAGGAGAATGTGCAATCTGCCTGGAGGAGCTGGCACAGGGAGACACCATCGCTCGCCTGCCCTGCCTCTGCATCTACCATAAAGGGTACGAAGTCCTCAGGAAAATGTTACGTCTCCATATGATAAAGACGTACTTGATCATTATTTCTCCAGTATCAAAATAAAAACTACCACTGAGGTCACCGAGGTCTGGGCCTTTTCTGAGGGGTATACAATAAAAGTCATAAAATTAATTAAGAAATAACTTCTTTAATGCTTTGCTGCCCCCAAAACTCCCCAACCATGTTTGGTTATAGGATCTGTAGTTCTAAAACCCTGCCTGCAGCTATCTTGGTGAGGTACTCCGAAATGCCTGGGTAACTGCATCTCTGTGTTAACACAGCTAGAAAATGTAAAAATGTGGGTCCAATTTAGGCACTGGTGTAAATGTGGTGGAATGATGTGGTGATGTTTGGGCACAGCTGGGGTGTTAGGGGCAGGGTGGCATCGTTTGAGCATCTGTTTGTGGTTTGAAGCTGTGTTAGGTTTGCATCTGTGTACGGGAAACTACAGTGGCTGCAAAAGGTCCTATCTATAGCCAGTGTTTGGTTTGTCCGTTCTGGGCTTTATACACTAATGAAAACATACCTATAAATATTATATTCCATTTCTGACAATAGATCCTGCTCAATGTTACACACTGGACCTTTCATTTAATCAGTTAGTTGTTTGGTCCATAAAATGTCTGTAAATGTTGAGCAGTGTTTCCCAAAACTCAAGCTGACGTCTTTGTCCACAACCCAAAGATCTTCAGTTTACTGTCACAGAGGACTAAAGACACCAGAAAATATTCACATCTGAGGAGCTGAAATCAGAGAAGAGAGACATTTTTTCTTAAAAGACTCAAAATGTCTATTGTCAAAGTAGTTGATGATTAATTTAACAGTTGACAACTGATCAATTAATTGAACACTTGTTACAGCTCTAATTGACACCCCGGTTCTAATGGAGGAGAAAATCCACAGTCCTCGTTCTGTGTGCAAAATTCCCATATTCCCAGTTTATCTGAAGTTGACCCAAGGCTTCAGCTGTCTGTTGGACAGATTGAAGTTGGTCTTTTTAGTGCAAATGTCTGTGTTACTTTCAATCAAATGCAGCTGCAACACTGTCAGGGGAACAAATGCAGAGGGAACTGTGACTTTGGATATGGAGATCCTCTTGATTTGACTTCTTGAGCCTCTCTTTTTTAATTAAACAGTTTACATCTTACATTTCAAAATACTGTATGTAATATGATAACACATTTGTCATGACCGCCCTGCGCCACTGGGTGTCACCGGATCCAACAAAACAAACATTCTGAGGCTTTCATTAGCACCTTTCTACTGTCTGTCTGTCTGTCTGTCTGTCTGTCTGTCTCACTCTGCTGTTACTTTGTTTTTTCCAGCTGTATCGATGAGTGGTTTGAAGTGAACAGATCGTGTCCGGAGCATCCATCAGATTAAAGCTCGGTTTGCACAGGTGAAGGGTTTCCTCATTGTCACTGTGGGGTTTCTCTCCTTTCTGGTTTTTGAACTCTCTGCTGGTTGATGACAGGTACTCTACAGTCACAGTGATGTACAAAATGAAATGTGGCTCCAGGGAGACTGCTGGACACTGTGACCACTGTGATCAGTTTAACCCCACCCACCTACCCAATAATGTAGTACCACGGTGTGCCAAATCTCATTTAAGCAATCTTCAGGGATACAGACTATTGTGTTTATGTTTGTCCATCCGCACTCAGTCTCAGACTGGACGGACTGCTCTCCACCTCACACCCTCTCCTCCAGCATCGACAGAGCTCAGAGCCACACAGGACACTATGGCTGCCAGGGCTCTTCTTCCTGTGTGGCCATTGGACAGCAAAATGTCAGCTGATTGTACGCCAGGACACTGGAGGAGGTGGACATGTTCCTGGAGAGGGGGGGGTCTTGACGACGTGTGTGGATTATCCCTCCCCCCCTTCTCCTTCAGCATCAGTGTCTACCAGTGCCTTGTTGTTGTGGCACCCAGCCACAGCAGGCCGGGACAGAGGAGTCCAGACTGTCAGCCGAGGCCAGCTGGACCGCCTGGACGGACACAGAGGACCATCTCACCACAACTGCCATTCTACCAGTCCAGGAGAACCGAGCCAGAGACAGGCAGAAACACCTGTGTGTTGTAGAACTGATGCTGCTGCGTAAATGGTGCCAACCAACTGTGAATATTCAAACACACACACACACACACACACACTCTCTCTCTCTCTCTCTCTCTCTCTCTCTCTCTCTCTCTCTCTCTCTCTCTCTCTCTCTCAATCATCAGTGCTTTTTAATCATGTACCATGAAGTAGAGGTCCTCAGGTGAGAAGGCTCTCTGACTCCTGCCACCATGCTCAGTTTCTTGTTCTAACAAGATGCATTTAATGTTACAATGTAACAACGTATAGAAGGTTCTCCTTATAACAGCAGCAGGAGAAATGTCCTTGTTTTTAATTCATTTTGCATAATCATAAGTGGCATGTTGTTATAACAAAGGTTCATTTTTAAAACAGAATATATACAAATATCTAATGATAATAAAATATCATTAATGGGATCTTATAATAAGAAACAACAAGGAAATGATTTTCTTTGTCCAGTTTGCTGTCAGTTTTGTTTTTTGTTACTGGACGGAAAAATGAGCTTCTGTTGTTTTCATAGCGTCTGCCAGAGGTATCCAACATCATAGCCCTCTGTTTACTGTTTAAAACCCAGGGTTTGAGAATGAATACCATATGACAGAACAAAATATTGCAATACAATATTTTCTTACACCCTTAATCTCCAATCAGGCACTTACCGGTGACTTTGCGGTTTAATCCCTTGCCACCATGGTACCCAAGACTTCTTCACTCTGAGTGCAAACTGTGGGTTAAACGCACAGTGATCCTCCACTGTAACATCAGTAGCAACAAGCAACATTTGTTCTACTAAATATCTATGGTTGTCATCGACAGAGCTACAGCAGACTGGTCTCAGGTCTTTGTGCTTTCCTTTATAAAGACTCAGCATTAAGTAAGGCTGGCCAGGACTGAGGGACACAAGGATAACGGGATCCATTTCTTGTGTTTTTATGGGGTCAGGTTTGTCTGAGGACCTCTACCATGGAGGTGTACAGTCTTTTTCAAAACTATCAGTTGATTTCACCGACAAGTTCATATTCTCTGCTTGATGATGAGTTTATCAGTGAATTCACCCAGTGTGGATCCCAAGCTCCTTTTTTTCCCACGACTCAGAACCCAGAGCTCGCCCCACCACCCTGAAGACTATTTTTATACTGGAAAAACAAACAAGCTGCTTCACTCTTTCCTTAATAGCAACTTAAAGAGCAATCTCTTCCCAGCTTTATGTAGAGGCTCGTAATGAGGGCACGATGGAAGCTTTCATTCCCCAATGTTTGTTCATGTGAGATGTGTCCATATGGCCTCCACTTTCTCTTGCTCTCGTCCCTCTGTGTCTTTAAAGCTACCTCCAGGTAGGAGCCGTGTTAGTGGAGGAAGGTAACGCAATATCAAGTGGAGAGAAAAAGTATCACAACCATTTTTATAATCCTCAAATTCTGAAAGTGCTTGAGGCATCAAATCATGTTTTGCACATACAGCATTACAAATCTGAACATCATGATGAATATTTTAGGATAGAATATACAGTATATATCAGTGGTATCAGAACGCCCTGACGCATGTGTGTGCAGGTTATTTTCCAAACTGTCAGCAGAGCAGTTGATTTTCCAGGTCAATGTCCTACTAGAACTAGATAAGAAGAATTAGTCAGCTGCTGAATCCCAAATTCATTTCTCCTTTCCTCCACTCCCTCCTGTCAGTGACTAACCTGGGCTGGGTTCAGTCTGAGCCATTACTCACACTGTACATGCAGCAGCAAACTCCATGCTACATGTGGAGAGTTACTAGGAGGGGGGTGAATCTTACATTTGATTTTATAAAAAAAGGCCCTCTATGGTGTTACTGATATTTTCTTTGGACCATCCCCTTTGACTGCAGTTGACCCTCCCTAAGTCCCGCCCCTTTTTGTTCATTGCTCCACTAACAGTTGCATGTCAAAACTTTAGCTAACTAACAATTGATGTAAATTTGAAGATAGTTGCTAGCCTTTTGTTAATATTTGCTAATATTTCTAAGTTACACACTTGAGTGTATTTATGGTGGGAGCTTTCAGATCTAACTAGCTAGCTGATTTGCTAGCTAGTTGACCGAGGTTCTGACTTGCTCAACTGTTATTGGAGCACGGAGCAAAAAAGGGGCGGGGTAGGGAAGGGTCAATACCACTGTCACACTGTGTCAGTGATATACGCCAACAGTCCCTCTCTAAATCAAAAGAAATATGTATTTTTAACTTATGTCATTCTCTGGTTAGGATAACGGTGAGGGTTCCTAATTGGAGGAAAAATTGAGTGAACTTTGGAGTTTTGGGATCCACCCGACACAGCCACGCAGAGATTAGCTGAGTCCTGTAATACACTGTCCCACCACTGAGTGGTGCTACAGAGTCATGTACCTCGTGTTGTTCTCAGCTTGTAGTCATAGAACATTTGGCTGATTGATGATCTCACAGGGCTCGAACTGTACCTCCAGCTCTCACTTTAATTCTGCAATCAATTATTATTTATCATCTTTGTCATAATCGTACAGATGATTTCTGAGAGCAGCTTAGACACTGACTAGTGATGTCTTTTCATTTCTGTGAATTTTAAAGGAAAAGTGCAACGGATCTGGCCTTAATAGATATGATGATGACATTCAGTTATCTGTCCTTGTGGTTGTTGATTGTTTTATTGTTTAACAGCTATCTGCTATAGCATAATGACTCATCCACCTACAGTAGCCAGAGAGAAAAGACGAAAACCTTTACATTTATGATAAAAGTGGAGATATACGGAGGGGAAAGGCCAGTGTCAAACTATAACCAGAGAGATGGAATTTTAGAAAAAGGTTCAGTTCTGTACTGTAACGAACCTGTGAAATGTATTTTGCAACTTCCATCCCAGCCGGTTGCGGCTTCCCCTATTTGCACATGCAGTGAGAAATCCCCTGTATAACGTGACCTGAAAGAAATGCAGGAGGAGGAGTATTGGCTCAGTGTGGGGACGGACAAACCGTTGCATGTCCAGACTCTGAATTGTACTGGGAGTGAGAGCCACTGAGGTTACAGTCCTGAGATAAGCCTTATGAGCTACTATAGAATCAGTCAAGCACTTTTTAGCATTTTCATAATTTATTTCTTGCCAGTTCTGAGCCCCAACAGACATTAGCTAATGAAATGTAACAGAGAATGTGTGTTGTTCAATATGTAACTGACAGAAAATCCTAACAAATATTCCTTTTCTGTAAAACTGTGTACAAAACAAATTAAGAGTGAAAATCTTTGAATACCAATCATTCTCTTGTACTTATTGCATTTTTTGTTATTGTGTTTGAAGCTAATCCAAATTTTTAAGTAAAAATTCTGCCGTCTAATCAGTCTGAAGAGTGTCCTATTCTGCTTCTTTTTCCAACACAAATCTGTCAAACATGGAGCTTAGTGAAATGAAAGTTTAGTCAACAAAGGGTAGTTTGTTCATCTAGACTGATGATGATTGTTGTGGTCTAATTACCCACAGCAGATAGGTGATTAAAAGGGGCACTTAAGGATTGAACTCAGTAGGGCTGTGTATCACAATGCAGCGGTTACAGTACAATTCAAAATATTGATACAATATTTTGACACCCCAACTACTCAGCTACTCGACTACTTTGAACATTTATGTAGTCTGCCTCTCTTAAGTTCCCTTGCTTTATGCAAGTATATTAATAAATGGCTTGAGTGCCCCTTTAAAACGTAGACGATCAGTGATCTTCTCCTGTGTGAGGAATGTCAGCTGTAGATCACATTAACCAGGGAGGAGTTCCCTTACATAGTTCATTGAGGAAGAATAATAGGCCTTTTTCATAGTTTAGAAATGCCACTGCTATTGTCCATGTGGCTCACAGTCATACTACAGACTGCTGGAACACTGGAACAGAGCCATCATTGGTTTTGAGTTTCCTGCTTTGACAAGTTAAAATTTGAGCTGTGAAAAAGGTGTATAGAGGGACAGAGATGAGGAGCAAAATGGGAAGTAATGAATACGGAAGTCTTTCTTGTTGAACTAAGCTCCATGTTTGTTCATGTACAGTCAGTGTCATCAGTCTTTTTACCCTTAATGGGAACCAACTGCCACAGGGTAGAGCTATCACACAAACAGTAACACCATGTGTAACAGTCAAATAATAAATAGTTATTACACATTCATACAAAACATGAACCTAAAGTCTATACTAAGGTTCATAAAGAAGGAAGTCATCAATTTGTTTTCTTCCTGTTCATCTGTGCTTCCACTTCCTCTTTTCCAGTCTTGTAAAACTGCCAAACATTTGTCAAAGTTTCAGGTAAACGTCCCCTACATGAAACATGACACACATGATGCAATGGATGTACAGTATTTCCATTAAAGCAGATGAACATGCAATACATATTTTACCCAACACACACGTTTCCCATGAGTGGCCAGTCAGTGGAACCGCAGCCTTTTCTCTGCCACAAACTCTTTCTGTTCCTCTTCAGAGAGCTGGTTTCCTTTCACACTGTAGGAACATGACCAGACACCATCAGACATCTCTTCACATTCCAAATGTTAAGCACTTGGGCTTTCCAGTGCTCCACATAATCTACACTATACCTTTGGTTCTGGAAGTTTTCCAACCAACCTCAATGTTACTTAACATAGAAACAGAGGCCCTTCCTGGACAGTGGTTATGGGTAATGCTTTATTTCTTATCTTTAGCATTCATGCACCGTTGGCAGAAGCAGGATTTTTTAAGAAAACTGAGAAGTTACTGAAATCTATGATAGATGATAGATGAATAAAAATATCTGTGATAATAGAACCATACAGAGGCCAGAACAGTGGTTAATGAATTCTACTGGATCCTCACCATATCTCTTTGAGTGCTGTGTTGTGAGCGAGGGCCTCAGCGAGGTGTTTGATCCCGTCCACAGTGAACTGGTTGTTGATTAACCTGCAGACAAATACAGAGCAGGTGAGTTTCAGACGATCAATGTCTGACCGCACAGGTCCATCCAAGGTGACATCATGTGTGTTTCCCTTACCAGAGGTGGCTTAAACCTGTGTTTGCTCGGACCAACTCAGCCAAGTGTGGAGCTGCATCATCAGTCATCTCATTCTGCACTAACCTGCAACAGCACAGACGGGTACTTGCATACAGAGTTGGACTGTTAGAACACAAAGATCCACTGGGCTCAAACTGAGTGACCTGCCTACCAGAATATCCTGAGGACACTGTTCTCTTTCAGGGCTTCTGCCAGGCACTTCCCACCTTTGGATGTGATGACATTGGCTGAGAGACTAGAACACAGAACCACAGAGATGACTCTACAAAATGAGTTCAAATCAGTAGGTGTTTATTGCGTTTGTAGTCAGCCGCCCTCTCACCTGAGGTTGGTAAGACTAGGGTGGTGCCTCAAAGCTTCTGCAAATGCGTCTGCTCCCTCATCGCCGATACCGTTCCCCCACATTCTGCAAGCAAAAACATCCAGACCGTCATCCAGGCTGCATCGGGAAGCATACAAACACAAAGAGGTCTTAGACCACTAAGTGGACCAACAGGACCTCCGAGAGAAAAAGTATTGTTCTAAGTTCAAGTTTCCAGAAATCGATTTTTAATTTAACATTTTTAAAAACTAATGAAAATGAAGTCAAACAACCCTCCTAACAGTGTTTTATTTGCCAGTGGTTTTTGGCTGGGGCTATAGCCAAACATGTGGACATATTCTAAGGTTTTATCAAATGTTGGTTAAACCATCACATTTTATCAGTGGTGGAAAGTAAATACATTTATTCAATTTTGTTTTTAAGAACATTTTTTAGTTATTTGTAGAGTATGTCCAATTTTGTGCTATTTTATACTTCAACTCCATTACATTTATTTAATTGCTTGAATTACTTTTAACATTTTGCATAGTGCAAACACCTGAAAAATGTCCGATTTGTCTTACAGTCTTATTTTTCTATGATTAGTGAAAAGAACCCACCATTGCGCAGACATTTTAATAGAAATCAGCTAGTTTTATGAATTTTCTAGAACAGTGATCCCTTATTCTGTCTTAAGATTCTCACATTCATTTCTGAAAAGTTGTTTTCTGTCAGAAACAGGCTGAAATAATCCAGAAAGACAGACTAAAACAGATTTAGCCACTTATTGACTTCACACAATAAATAAATTCAATAACAAATTCATATTTCTGCAGTGCAGAACACAATATGATCATCATATAAATAGTTGGTATCAGCTCCACCTTGACCAGCTGATAATATAATGCTGCTTACATGTTAATGCAGATGTTGTTAATATTGAATAATATGTTGAATATTTATCACACTGAAAAGGGTCACTGCATTATGAGTACTTTTTACGTTTGATTATTTCAAAAGTTCAAAGTTAAACTTTAAATGCAGGACTTGTAATGCTATTTGCACAGTGTTGCTACTCTACTGGGATGTGAATACTTCTTCCACCACTGCATTTTAATCATGATTTGGTTTTTTTCCCCAAGATAATGTTCTGTATGTTTTGTGCACTGCAGACATGGTGATGAAGCTATTTTTTTCTCCATCAACTGGCCTCTCCAGTTGATGTCACTGGCTTTTTCTTTCCATCTCACTGCTTTCGTGAGTACAGCGGAATAAGGATCATTTTACAGTCTTACCCCACATCAAATATGGAAGTGCTCTTCTGAATTGCGCTGGCCAAATACTTCCCACCAACAGAAGAGATCTTGTTTTTACCAATTCTGAGGACAAGATAATACGTCTCTTAAATTATTGGTGATAACACTGACATATTAAATATACAACTATTATAATGATCATAATATTCTAATTTTTACATTTTAAAGTTCGAAACATACTTGACAACCCGCAGCTTTGGGCATTCCTCGATTATCTGAGCAACTAGCTTGGCTCCAACATCTGTGATGTGATTGTTGTAAAGCCTGAGGGCAAAAACAGAAAATCTTTCACTCTCAGAAAAACATAAACATACTTTACTGAGCACTAATGTTATAAGGGGTTCGGTCCTGCTCTATTTGAAAAGTGTCCTGAGATAGCTTCTGTTATGAATTGGCGCTATACAAATAAAATTGAATCGAATTGAATTAATGCTACCTTTACTTGCTGGTGAATTTTTTTTTACTTCTACAGTTTGTATAAGCAAAAATTAAATCATATATCCAAAGAGGCCTGAATGTAGCTTTGAATAAATATGTGTGAACTACTTGTCACATTTCAGATATCTGACTCAGCAAGAGGTATTTCCCAAAGATTACAAAGTCCATCAAAGAAATACAGCGGCAGAACTTTGCTTTTTCTTCTTTTCTACTGCATCCTCTCACAACCCCTCAGATTTATCCTGTGACCATTTGGAGTGCCCCGTCCCCTAAATTGGGAACCACTGGAATAAACTTTATATAAAAAGTAGTTAAAACTACAGCTCCAATTCAAGCAGCTACAACAGTAAAATGCTGCTAACACATTGATGAATCAGTATTAATCTAATCATTGTATATATATTGTATGAAATATTTTGATTAATTTACTTGATATGATACTTGAATGCAGAACTTGTAACAAAGTGTTCTTGGATCGTTTCACTGGTACTTTTACTTGAGCAAACAATCTAAATACTTCTTTATCTTGAGAATGGGATGGAATGCAGACTATTTGGTCCCAATACACTGAAACAATTACTCACCCCAAGACCTCCACAACTTTGTGCTTACACAGCTCCTCTGCAAGAACCTCAATGCTGCTGTCAGACAGCTGATTTACACACAATCTGAAGACAAGAAGTGTAATTAGTGTTGGACAGTCAAGCTGAATACATTATAAAATTAGTCTGAATATTAGTAAAAGTTAAAACCATGTTTAGACTTACCTCACTACTGTCATCTTACAAAAGGAGGGCCTCAGCTGCTTCACCCCATAGTCACTGATGTTGTTGTTGTCCATGTCAAGCCCCAGGAGCTTCTGACGGTGCTGCAGTACAAAGTTCAGGGCAGTGCAGTCACCTGAGAACACGTTACAGTAACCCAGCTTGATTAATCCAGCAGTGATGCCTTTTGCCGTCATCTGAGCGATGTCTTTGCTCCCTGTCTCAAAGATGCACCTCAGCATCCACAGGAAGTTGGGTAAAACGTGGACTTTCTTGCCCTCCTCACCGTTGTAGCTGGGTAACCCATGGAGGTGGGACTTCACACTGGTGGAAAGGTAGGATTTTAGCAAGGCCCGTTTTTTCTTTAAAAAGACAGGAGATACCAGATGCTCTATCAGGCTGGCGTGAGCCTTGGACAGCAGTCCACTCAAGAACAGATTAGTGAACTGAAGGTGTTCATACGTGTCAAATGGCTTCTTTTCACTGGGCTTTGAGGCATTGATACAGAAGTCAAACGGCAGACAGGATGGTTGTCTTTTCCTGCTGCACTCTGTGAAGAACTTGAGGATGGAGTTGGCAGCATCCTGCTGATCCAACACAAGAGCGAATGCCGCCAGGAAAGACTGGAGGGTGATGTGGAGGAATTCAAAGGTAGCAGGGCCTCCACTGGTATCATACTCACTGACGGGTCGAAGAAAGCCCAGAGTCAGGTCCTCCTCTGTCAGCCCACACTCAGTGATCTCTTCCTGGCTGCAAATGAAGCTTCCTCTCTCCATACCCTGGAGTGCTAGTTTGGCAAATGCCGCGAGAGGCCTGAGCCCCCGTCTGAATGTCTCTGAGGCACACCGTGTGCTCTTCTTCAGCAGGGATGGTGCAGATGAGGCTGAGTGGCTGAGGAACACCTCGGACAGCAGGAGGAAGATGTCAGTGAGCGTGATGCAGGTTTCAGGTAGATAAAAACTATCATGCATGGTGTGCAGATGCCTAAAACTCTTCAATACAATCCAGCAGAACAGAGGGGTGGAGCACAGACCGCAGAGGTGGGGGCTGGCATCCAGCTGAACTGACACCAGCTCTCGGTGCTCCTGCTCCTTAAAGTGTAGATTGATGTAGGTCTTCAGATGAGCAGGGGAGAACCCCCGCAGAGCCACCTTCTTTCTGATCACCCTACTCTGGAGCTCGACCCCTGTCCGGGCCGTCAGCACCTTCTGGGAGCCCTTCAGTAGTTTCCCACATAGCAAGCTGATGAGCAGCTGGAGGGGATGTGTCTTGTCTTCTGGTGAGACCACTTCAGGTACATTGATCATGTCTAGATCCTCCTGGATCTCATCGTAGCCATCAAATGTAAAAACAACCTTCTCAGGGAAGCGCAGGATGTAATCAAACACCTCATTATCAGGATCATGATCTGGGTAGCAGTTGTACTTGAACAAAAGGTCTCTGAGGGAGATCTGTTCTGTGTCCTTGAAGATTCTGAACATCCTACAGCGGAACTTGAAGAAGAAGATGGCGTCTGTCTGTAGCCCTTTCTTGGACCAGAGGTTCTGGAGTTTCTGCAGTAGGATGGATTTTCCTACACCCGCATCCCCCATCACAAAGATGGTTTCACCTTCAGGGTTGAAGACCGCGTTGTCTCCTAGGAGCTGGTCCAGACTCTCCAAGAAGCCCAGACTTTCATTGCAGTCGTTCAACAGTTCCATCAGTGTGTCAGTGTATAGCTCCTCCAGACGGGTCTCCTCTCTCTGGCCGTATGACATGATGAAGCAGGTGTCCCGGCTCATCTCATGCCTCAACTTCTCACTATACCTGCTGACTTAAAGGAGGTAGTGTGTGGATAAGTGCAATGTACAGCACACACTTTTGTGCTATTATGACTAAGAGTTAGGTTAGGTCTAGTAATTCTGAATTTTCTATTTTAGGAGCAGACAAAGTTTATCCAATCCATAAATGGATGTGTTGTTTTTTTTGGTCCATTATATTTTATCCTTATATCTTTTATCTTTGCTGCAGACAATCAGGACAAAAAAGGTTAACAGTTACTGCTAATCATTGATCCTATCCTAGATAAGAGTTCTCCTTCACTGTCTAAGAAGAGCAAAGCACCACACATGTTGAGTAGAGATGTGGGGTTAACGAATATATGGAAGTTCAGAGGGAATACTTTTTTTTCTCCCACTGACACAAAATATATTCTAGAATAAATGTATTTTTAATAGCTAATTCCCTGATAGATAGTGTAGCTAATTGTATGATGAGAGTGATATCGCTCACAGCTCATACACTGAAAGAATTATTTATTAATACAAATCTCAATACTGAGAGGAAAGGCAGGTGGAGAATGAATACTACATTAATGCTAGATTCATCCTTTAATCCCTCCAGTATTTCAAAACCTTTAATCTAGATCACAATTATTCCGTTTTTTGTAATCCCTTTTTTGCTATAAAAGATAAAACGGATCATGTAGCTTTTGTCCTCGTTTTTCAAAGATTTTTCAGACAAGATTATTCTCATCCAGATAGCACAAGATCAGGATTACAGAATCTGTAATTGGATAGGCCTCCATCAATAGGTCAGAGTATCACATTTCATTAACACATGTGAACATGTTGTAAAGTGTAGATCATTTTGCATATTATTCATATTCACTTATCTGCATAAGCACACAATACAGATAAATTAGCTGGTAGCAGTTAGTTTCCAGAGTAAGTATGTTTGTTTTTATTGTTAAAATGTTTAGTTTTAGTTTAGCCTTCATTAGTTTCAGTGTTAGTTTTAGTTTTTTTTTATTATTATATAGGGTATATTTGTCAGGGGCAATATTTAAGTGGTTCGGAATAGGAATTACTATTACTACTATACACTTTGTGACAGCAGCTGACTCATGTAGACATCCCAGTCTAAATAAACATATGAACCAATGCCTTCTCATGCTTGTCGTGTTGACAGAATTTGACCAAATTGAATAAAACTAAAGACATTTCTTGTATATTTTTTATCTTATTCTTGTTAGTTTCAGTTAGTTTTCATTTTTTAAGTCTAGTTTTTATTTATTTTTCTATTTTTAGTTTAGTTTAAATGAACCATAATAACCTTGGTCTCTGCATCCATCTTGAATCATTGCTGGATCCACCTTTCCAGTGGGTATCATAACTATTATATATCCTAATCTCCAGTTCTGAAATACCCCAAAACAACATTTTTATCTGGATTCTGGGTAGGATTGGATTACCAAATCCTTATCCAATTTTTGTACATTAGGATCACATCTCCTGTTTTGAAATTTTGAGATTTAATCCTATCCGGGTACTATTACAAATTTTAAAATACTGGCCCTGGTCTCCAAGGAGAATAATATAAAGATCTTATAGATATCCTTGCCCCAATATTGCAAAAGGTTTGTCAGCAGATGTTTCCAAAGGGGTATATACCCCAACTTTTGATGAACCCTTAATTTCACTAATTCCTAAAACAGGTAGAGATGCAGCCTACCCCTTTAATTTTAAACCCATTAGCTTAATCCTTCTGGCCAAAATCTGCATAGGTATTACCAAGCATCATTCAACACGACCAAGTGGGATTTGTAAAAAATATATCCTTAACTGATAATATCAGACACTCCAATAACCTAACTTGATGCTGAGAAAAACCTTTGATAAAGTGGAATGGAATAAAGGTGGAATAGAGAACATGAGCTATTGCTTTATGTGGATGATATCCTAGTAGTGATATCTGACCCTGTGATGTCCCTACCACATTTGATGGACATCATCCAATCATTTTCAGAACTATCAGGTTATACTATTAATTGGATAAAACCTGAAGGACTGCCCCTTCATGATAAAAAACTGGGTCCACAAGGGAATGAAATACCTTTGTCAGGACACAGGGGGAACAGCAATGATACGTTTATACCCACTACAAAAGATTAAAATAAACTAAAATTGGAAAAATTATAATGGCTCCCCAATTTAACTATATTAGTATGAGGCTCACTATCAAAATACCATTTTAGCAATTTGATGACATAATAAAACACTTTCTGTGGAGAGGGGAAAGGCCAAAGATTAAACTGAGTAAGTTCAATTCAATTCAATACATTCAATTTGTATAGCACCAAATCATAACAGAAGTTATCATATAAGTATAAGAGAAGTTTTTCTTATACTCCTTACAATCAAAAAGGCCCCCTGTGAGGGCCCCCCGTGAAGCTTTGGTGACCCCTTGTGGGGGTTCAGACTAAGGCTTGCTCAACTGTTATTGGAGCAAAAAGGGGCGGGATTTAGGAAGGGTCAATTAGCATGACCCCCACCTGTTTGAGCATCAAAGTGCTAGTTATACATGTATATAATATATATATATATATATATATATATATATATATGTGTGTGTTTAATAACTTTTATTTTAATATTTGAAGTAAATTAAAAAGCTTCTGTACCTCTACTTAAGCGTGAATGTAGTAGGACTTAATGTGGTATTTTTACATTTCTACCCAACTCTATACTTGTACACTGATTTTAAGTGGGGGGGACAGGGTAGTAGAAACACCCCTCTGTATGATGTGATACAACCTACCTTACAGCTAATAAACTGGTACCTGAGGCTACATTCATACTGCAAGTCTTAGCACTCAATTCTGATTAGTCGCTCAGATCAGATTTTTTGTTTGGCTGCTACATTATTTTAAAAATGTGGCCCATATCAGAATCCAGCGTGAGTCACGGTCCTGAAGTGACCTGTACGACAAAGTCTAGACTGACATAAAAGTCACATGAATTCTGATAAGACAATAAGTCACAGTTCACACTGAGGTCACACTGCAAAGAATCAGACCTGTATCTGATTTGGACCACATGGGAAAGTGGCCCGAAGCACAATTGAAAAGATCAGATTCCATGTGATTTGTTCTGTTCACACTGTCGTGAAAAAAAAATCTAATCTAAACAAATCACAACAGAAATCAGCATGAAATCACAGGGAACCTGATCTGTTCAGTTTCCACTTTCATATGTCATATCACAACTCATGTGACTTTTGTGTCACTATAGACTGATATTCGTCATCTGGGTCACTCGAGGACCAGGACCTGTCCACACTGGAATCTGATATGGGCAACATTTAAAAGGTAAATCAGAACTGAGAGCTTAGACTTGCAGTGTGAGCGTAGCCTAAGTGTATTTTCCACTGGGTTTGCAACAATTCAATCACTATGTTCATTCCAAGACATTGTCAGCAAACCACAAACTGCCTCATTTGTAATCAGTTATGACTGATGGAGTTTTAGCTTTAAGAGTCTTTAAACTGGCTTAATTCTTCCTACCAGGCTCTCATCTGCACATTATAAATACGGACACAAACACCCTCACATGACACGTGTCACAGAGCAGCATTAGAGATTATAAAACTTACTGGGATCTGTGTTGACCACTTCCATCACTGCTACGTCATTGCTTGGGTTGTAGTTGATCTCTTTCAGCCATGGCTGGAGGTCTATGTATGCATCACATACTTTATATATGATGTAAATAAAGTATTCACAGGCCTCCTCCCCTTTGCACTGGACCAGGTCCAAGATTTTGCGCACCTAGAAAATAATCACAGGGAAGGCAGTCTGTGTTATAATAACTTCACAAACTATCTATTTGGGATTTTTAACCAGTTCATATTTTACAGAGATAATGACAATGTATTTTAGACTTTTTTACATGAATGAATATGAAACTGTTGGAAATGGACATTTAAATCAATCTAAAATAAAGATTATAACAGCTACAGCATCCATTCTTTTTGCTGTGGAAAGCTAAGGCTTCTGTCTTTAACATCATCGCGTTGTGCGCTCTGGGAGATGGGCAGGTGGAGAAGAGCAAAGGAGATGGATAGCTAAAAAATTAAAGTAGAAATGAGCATATCTCAAAAAATGTACATAGTTCAAATAACTTCTGAAGGCGAGTCCAGAAATCTTTTGTTCATGTTTCTACATTTAGATTTAGATTAATACTTTGAATCATTCTGTTTCAGATTTAGATTAATACTTTGAATCATTCTGTTTCTTGTTTATCTTTTATATAATCTAAATCATTTTTGCAGTTTTCATATTTATGACTCAGTTTCAATACTTAAATTTCTATGGTTCATTGACTTATACAACCTTTTAGCTTAGGTTGTACAGATTTTAGGAATATAATTAATTTCAAGATAGTTACAGAAATGACATCACAATAAGTAAAAATACCAATATAGGTACTGGAGGAGTACAAAGGGTTAAAGATCCCCTCCAGACATGTATTATACATTAAACATAAATACAAATAGTCTGCTTGTCTCACAGATCCTGCTGGTAGGCCCCGCCCCTTATCATCAGATGTTCAATGAGCACAGAGAAACTTTCCACTTTCAGCAGATGAATGTGAAACTATCCTTCTGGAGTCAAACTCTGCACAGACAGCATTTCTTTCTTTGGTTGTCTGACCTGATCTGTCTTGGTGGCTGTCTGCTGCACAATCTCAACATCTTCCTCACAGACGAAGCCACAGGCCGACAGGTTGTCCAGGATGCACTGAATGCTCCTCAGCCTGGACACCAGCACTTCTCTGTGGTAGGTGAGGACATCACCGTAGGACATGTTGGCTTCCTCTATCTGACCCATATTCACCGCAGAACAGTCACCTCTGTGGGATAACAGATGGCAGGACAGATGCAAGATCATAAGTTTGGAAATTCTACACTGTAATGCAGTGACTTATTTCAATTTTTAAAAAAATGCGGATTACTTAAAAAAATGAAGTATTACACACTCATTTTTGTAAGTTAAAAAACATCCTTCATCAAGTACTTTTTACTTTAACTTTACAGTACAAATAAAAATGACAAAAAGGAGCTTCACTTACAATAACTGAAGATACTAATTTCTGATTTAATCAGTTTCAATATTTTTTGAGTAAAATGAATTTATGTGGTATCACAGTGTAGAGAAACATTTAAATAAACTGTTTCATTAATTATTTAATGCTTCCTATTTTGTTAACATGACACAGCTCAGTGATGAAGAACCGGCTAGTATCGGTATTATACAGACTGACAGCGACACTCCCTCGCTCCAGTTAACGTAGTTAATGTTTGACCTTTTCTACCAATTCATCTCTGGACCATTAGCTGAAAGGAAACATGGTGAACCAAAAGTTCCAAACACCGACCAGCTGTGTTCATCTGGCGCAGATACAAGCTAACCGTTACTCCACAACAAACTTAACGACACATTCAACCTACCATAGTGTTGCGTCCAGTGCACTTTGAGATAAAAAGCGAGTTCTGAGCGGAGCTAACTACTGGTAAATGCCACGGGAGGCCATTAGGTGACTTTGTGTACGGTACATCCACCGTGTGCCCGCCGTCCAGCAGTCTCTGCGGTAGGAAGTGAAAGTACCGAGGAGCAGTGCGTCATTTCTGCTCAACTCTTTCACAACCTGCACGCGCTCCATTCACTTCCCCGCGCCAATGTGGGAATTCAAACTACACCAAGTATTTCTTTCTTTTTTTAATTTGAATGCACAGTAAGATTATACATTATCATCATTACTACATGATATCACCATGTCATTGGTAACACCTGTGATTACCCTACTATTTCATGTCAAAATGGCTGCTGTGAAAAAGGTCTTTTATAGGCTTTGAGATGTGGTTGAAGAACAGAAGGAAAGCTGTTTAAAGGTTGTTATCATGGACTGCACAGTGATGACAGGCTTATTCAAGAGTGTGTCAGATACAGCAGAATCAACACATCATCATTCAAATACAGTGATTCATTATACGTTAATAAGATCAACCTCATAATGATATGAGAATAGTGTATTGACTGTACGTTTTACAACTAAATAATGTTCAAAAGTAACTGTTTTCATTGTGTTCACACTGTACACTGTACATTCAGGTTGTAAACATTGTTACATGTCAGGTTGTAGATGGATCCAAATAGAGAAACGCTATCATCGCATGCTTTAACATACATACCTGCATTATTCAAAACACACAATGCTACAAGCAGAGTATAACAATGGACTAAATATGTCAGCGATCCTCAGGACTGTTCCCCACAGATGAGCCATTATTTCCTGGTAAAGATAATATGATAAAATGATAAAGCAGTCAGCCTTTTAAAGACACTTTCTGGCACATCAAAAAATTAATTCTGACTAAATGTATTTGCTATGCTGTGCATACTTTGATTCTCACACTACTTAGTCCAAACTGTAAATCTGGCCACATGTGTTTTCTGTCCATGTTGGATATTCAAATGGCCACATATGTCCTGTTTTTGTGCTTTAACAACCAGGCGGCAACTTGGCTTCCCTGCGTAAAAATGTTGGTGCGCACAGGATTATCAGTGGCTGTTTTTACACACAAGACACATCACCTAAACACGACCCATTCAGTTTAAATGAGGAGCAGCACCAATACACAGAGAAGTGTTTATACTATCTACTATTAGTTTACTCTATTATTAACCCAAATTATTGATTTCTACCTTAATTACATCTACTGGCCTAATGTGTAAACTGTAACTGTATACATTGTATCCAGATAAAGCACTTTCACTTTTCAGTGAAACTGCCTGGGCCCAATTTCTTTTTATTTAATGGGTCTTACTCTTTACTTTGGCAACAGGTTCTAGGAGTGTCCACATGGTGGCAGTACTAGGTAGTGGGACAGATTTTATCATTATGTCAGTGGTATGTGGAAGAATATGAAGCTGCTATGTATTGTAACTTAATTTAATTTAATTTAACTTCCATTCATCATCCAGCATTGCAAGTTGCTGCCCATATCCTCTAAGTCTCTACAGACCATTAATATTTAACACACTTTATTTAGTAAAAACACTTGTTTATTGGGATGAAATGTACATAAAGCATAAATAGGTCAATCTCACAGGTGGTGAATGTTTTAAGGAAAACATTAACAAATTATCATCACTGACATTACTATTATTGTGCACAGAACAAAAAGTCAACATCACAACACACACAGAGTCAAACACAAACAGAACATATCTTGAATTCAACATACACACACTGTACACACGCAAACAACAACAATAACATTGCATTATCATTTCATTGAAGAAGAAAAAAAAAGGAAATTTCATCTTCATCACTGAACACAGAGAAGCTGTTCAGTGCAGACATAGTGTAATGTGTAAACTGAGTGGGTTCAATATCGTGTAGGAAACTGAAAATATGCCTTCACTGCACTGCTTTAACAAACCTGTCTTAACACTGAAGTGATGGTTTTGTGTGGGACACTATGGACAGCTTTGTAGTGCAATTCAAGATTTCATTTTTTATTGATATTGTTTTCTAGAAAATCTAGTTTTTATGTAGGCTGCTATACAAAATCAACTCACTTCTTGGTTATCAAGCTGGTTAACCAATGTGTAATACTGCCAGCAAATGTTGAACAGCTGATTTGTCAGAAATGTGCACCAACCTAAAAGACACTGTCATAGGGATGCACTGTCAGACTGTAATGGTCTTATAAAGTACAGATTAGTATCAGCAAGTACCCAAATGTAAGTAATTGTATTTGGTCTGAAAAAAGTGGTCAAATCAGTCATTATTTCCTCTTAAAGCCCTGTCTTGAGATGTCTTCATCAATATATAGTTAAAATGTCAGTTTAATAAAAACCATGATCAGATACCTCAAAATATAAAATCTGGAGCCAGATAATATTCCAGCATAGGATTACTGCTCCACTGAACTTGACAGGGACTTGGAGGCACAGAGTAAATACAGGTAGAATACAGAGGACACGGTTAAAGGGAGGGTGGTGTATTAATAGGGGTCTATTAGCAAAGGTTTATCCCCAGGCCCCCTTACAGGTTGATCTGGCCATACTGCTGAGAGAAGAGTTTTGCTAAGTAATGAGATAATTCAAAGGAAAGATGAGAAATCTTAGATTGTAGATGACAGTTAATGGTGTCTGATATTTACACATTATGACGCAAAATTACTGGGATAGATTAGAGTTTTTTGCTTATGAAAACTGCATACTAAAATGAGACAAATGAAGCACTGTGTTTAAAATGGCAAAATAATACTGTATGTAGGTCCTGTTGTTCTTGATCTGGAGGTTTCTTTGCGTGCCGACCACGAAACAGTAACACAGAGCAGAGGAACTGTTCCCACTGCTCAACAGAATAAGTGGACAGTACCACAGCTACTAGCTCAGTGGTGTCAAAGCTGTATCTCAACAGATGCATGGAATGAATGAGATGAAACCGAAGGGCCACAACATGGATGCTGCAGAGCATCCAGCCAGAGCTAAAGCTGGTGTAAGTCAGTGTAATAGAGATGATCGCATCTCTTCCTTGTACCACATACATCCACGGTTGAAAAAGGTCAGTAACATAATGTTAACAGGGACAGCAGGGATCAGATCTCACTCTCGTAGGTGTGCATGTAGGTCTTGAGCGAGAGGATTTCAGCATAGCTCCGGGTGGTTCTCCGGTACAGGTCCAAGCCTGTCAGGATCTCCACGTCTCTGACCCGCGCTGTGTGCATCTTCATCAGGTCCTCCACCCAGCGAGACTCCTCCTCTGAGCTCTGCAGGGAGGCAGTGAGGAACACAGGAGCATTAGCATTAGCAAACAACAATTTGTAGTTTTAGGGGGCGTTACACAATGGAACTCCTTCTTGGCGACCATCCCGGCTGATATACACAGTGACTATGTGTAACATCACAGAGTTATTTCGCAGTGAGGTTACCAGGTTTTTGTGTCCCGTACAGAAACATGTACCAAAACCTGTGCTCACTGATTGTATCTGCCAACCCTGAGAGGAAGATGCTGCACAGAAGTGCTGGGCTGATGCATAAACTGTTGATTGTCAAGAAAAAGTTTCAATACATAACTAAACTCAAGATACAGTATGTAAAAAAAGACAGGTGTTTGTAGGTATGTTTTTTTCACTTTGAAGAGAGCCTGCCTACTGTAGCTGTTCCTCCCTTTCGTGTCTGCTCTATGCTAAGCTAGGCTAACTGCAACCTGACACAGACATGAGACTGATATCAATCTTCTCATCCTACTCTCAGAAAGAAAGCTAATAAGCACATTTCTCAAAATGTTGCACTGTTCCTGTGTTCCATGTACAAACACATTCCGTTCCATTATAATTTTGCCCCATTATCTTTTGAGGCTTTGCCTTGTGTACATTTAATGGTTCAAATCATTTTCTTTTACAATCAAATCTCCTGGCCATCAGTCACCTGCATATTAAGTAGGGGTGCAGAAACTGTTGGTAAAATAGTTCAATTGTGACGACACATTGAAAGATGTGATGTTCCTTACTCTGCAGGTCTCGTCGTTGCTGGGTCTGTGAGGCAGGATGAATGCAGCACTGCTGAGTGGGCCGCTGCAGGAGTCTGCAGCCTGTGTGAAGTCTAAGCAGCTGGTCAGGACCACAAAGTAGTGTGTGGGGATGGGTATCGTCCCACTTACATACCTGCAAGAAAGGTCAAACAGAAGACTCAAGTTTTATCTTTGATTTGTAACATTGTCTTTATAAACAATGCTACAGTGAAGTACACTGAATATTCTTACTCTTTTATTTTTTCTGCTGAGTCCCTGACACCATCATAGTCGTAGTCAAATATGGGTCCGATGAGTACGTTCACCCCGTTTCTCTCAGTGGCATATTTCTTCACAAGTGCTCTCTGGAAGTAACCCCATATTCCTGAGAGAGAGGGACCAAAGACAAAAACAGAGAGGGAAGTGAGAATGAAGCAGGGAAGATGGGCTGACAGCAGATACAGAAAAGCAGTGAAATGTATCAGTGGATCCATCAGCATGGATTTGGTTTGATTTTTGTGCCCTTGGAGAAAGTTCTCATCATGGTTGACTTACTCTTGAATGCAGGATACATGGGAACAGTGTTGGTGATGAGAACAGCATCATATTTTCTGTCTATGGTTGAGGACAATTCTGTCAAGAAATAAATAAGAAACATGATTAAAATGTATTAATATTAAAATTATGTATGAAATGTTACTACATCTGATTGAAATGATGGTCAAAACTATGACAAAAAGACCCTAGAATCCATTAATGCAGTTTTTATTTTTCTTAACCCGGATAGCTCTCCTGGTAGAGCTGACACCCCATGTACCATAGCCGAGTCCTTACTGCAGCGGCCCAGGGTTGGATCGACCTGTGGCCCTTTGCTGCGTGTCATCCCCTCCCAATCGAAGCCCCAAAAAATACTTAAATTTTTTTTTTTTTTGATGTATTAATGACAAAAGTCTGTCACAATAATCAGAGCCAAAATTGTGAATTTGTCTGACCAATAGTCCAAGACTTCAAGTCCAAGGCACAAATATTTAATTTCAAATGATGAGTATTGTGTTTAAAGGCTATATAGTCAGTAGCAAAGAGCTTTACATTGTAAGCTTACATTGTAGCCATAGCAACCCTTCTTACAAATATTCTTCTTTCAACCAAACCAGTATTGGTGATAGTTGGAAAGACTAACAAAGTAGTTAGTTATTAGTTAGTTTTATTTTATTTGAATTTTGTATACATAACCTTTAAGCTGTGGTGGTTACTTACGTGGCGGGTAGAGGAAGGCGTAGGAGATGTGTCTGTCTGCTCTGTAGTTAGTACAAGACTGACTGTAGGCTGGAGGGACTCTAGTATCAGGTCTCACACAGTTGGACAGGGCTTCAGGCAGAGGGGACACTTCTACCTGGAGGACCACACACATACAGAAGACATAAGTCAACTGACACCTAGTTTCAACTATTGGTTGTTTTCTGTTGTTCAACAGATCAGAGAAATTGTAGGTGATGGTAGCTGAGAAAGACGGTGTATAAGGGAAGCAGTTCTACTCTACTTTTGCCAGCAGGGGGGATCAGATGTCACAGAGGACAGAGAGCAGGTGAGACACTACCTGATCTAATGCATTCGTAGCTTCTAGCCACACCTACTGCTCTAAGGATATAATCTTGTCTTAAAACCTAACTGATAACCCTTTTCGTCTTCCAAACAAGTCACAAAAGAATGCTGAATCAGATAGCAAATTTTAGAAACATGAATAATGTTACCTTTAATAGATTGGTATCTGACACACACAGGCTTCAACAGGTTCAAATTTAAAACCTTTTCAAGCCCATTATGAATGCAATGTAAATTTCAAAAAACTATTTTTACTGGCAACATAAAGTACAGAGGATCTGAAAGAAAATCGGTGTTGGTTCCATGTTCGTTTCATTTCGTAATTGTTGCAGCATGATCAATACAGATTTTCCCAAAAATACATTTAAAAGGAAGACTGAAAAGTGCAACGTTACCCACGAAACTTCATTAATCCAATAATTTTAAAGTCTAAAATTCAGATGATTGGATTTTAGACTTTTTAAGACCCCTGTGGACACCCTGCTCACTGACATGTTAACTGCACCTTGAGACCCCTTGCCCAATTGCTATTAGTTTATTAGGATATGTCAGTAATATATATACATACATGCTTTTAACGGTAGTCATATCTTTTTAAAAATCTTCTAGCCATGGAAATACAAATGTGCAAAAGGTAATATTATTTTTTTTAGGCTGTTTCTGGCTCATATGTTCTTCATAATAATCACATCACAGACTGAAACTTTACAACTGGCATGCTGTTCTCTGAATGAGGTACCTTTGTTGAGTCTTTGCTGACAGTTTAAGCCACAGAAAATGTTCACAATAATGTCAATGGAGATGAGCGGTACCTGTCTGCTGACGGTGTACGACGTCCAGAGAGGCATGGAGAGAGCCTCGCTGTAGCCGCTGATGTAGTCACTGTGGTGGAGGATGAAGTATTTGGTACGGAAGAGTACAGCAGGTCGACCGTGCGGCAGATTCCTGCTGTCTGGGAGAGGAGGAGCACAGGGGGGGGGACAGCAGTTGTATTTTACAACTTTAACATGTAAAGTTTATATGTACCAAATTATCCTTAAAAATGGCTGTGTATTGGCAAGAATCTTGCGATACAATACGTATCACAATACAGGGGTTACAGTTGAAAATCTTGCAATACTGTAGGCAAGGCGATATGTTGTGATTTCTTTTTTTTAATCTAATTTTAGGAAGTAGTAACTGCCATAGAATTAAAAAAAGCTTACTTTTGTATTCAACCACAACAGCATGATTTGTATTTTGTCACAGTTGCTATAACATCCAACATCATAGCCCTCAAGTTGATTTTTGAGAATTGAGACAATATCACGAAACAAAATATATATACGATACGATATTTGTATTTATTTAAACCTTGTAAACCTACTAAACAGACATTATACATAGAGTGAATGTTTAGCTTGAGTAAGTATGCATTGCTCTTAAAGCTGATTTACAAAGGTACTGTGAGCTCATTTGAATTTCATAAGAATTCTTATGGTGTTATAATTATAAGTTTCTGCATTCTCCGAGGATGACATTCTGTATAAAAGACAGGTCATGTTCAGTAGCATCATGAAAGACTGACCATCAATAGCTTGCCTCAGTCGCTGGTTTAGCTCCTCCACTTTGTTCTGTAAGAGACAGAGCCAGAGTGACTCCAGGTTATAGCCTCGTACAAGGGTCACTTTCAAACCTCTCTGGCCCCTACTTTTTACACGCAACTGCAAAAAGATCGGAGATTGAAACAATCTCTTGCCAGAGATTTACATGGGAATCACAAACACAGTATAGATGAAGTGACACACTGCAGAGAAGGGCTGGCTCCAACTCACTTCCAATCCAAGCAATTCAGTAAGTAGATCACAAAAAATAGTCTGGACTGAGAGGGTTGTCGAAGGTTGACGGTAAACCACGACGCAAAGACTTTGCGTTAGAAAATGAACTACAGATTGTGTTGAAATGAACTGACTGATTTGAAGGTGAATTGATTCCAGCTCTGCAGCGGAAAGCAAAGAGGCAACAAGGTTATTTCAGTCTTTAAGGAAGCTGAATAGACAAAGCAACAAAGCAATCAGGTAATGAGATACATGTTTACAACAGACTCATTCACACACTCACAGACACGCACAAACGATCAATTAATCATGGATGGTAGGTCCATGCAGATGATTCTATTCACAGGTTTATAAAAACACAACATCTGTATTGAAAAGCCCTTCAGTCACAAGCTGTGCCACGTTTGGGACGTCTGATGGATGTGCTGCTGTTAAAGGCAATCTGCCAGAGCTACTACAGACACACTCTGCTCTACAGATGAGATGAGACCAACTAATTCCAGCATGTGAAAACATCAGTTTGATCCATTAATGGTAAGTGAATGCTGCTGGGAACAAAGGGAAGCTGCAGGCTGACAGTGGTCCGGAGTCATATCATATATCTGCCTCTTTACCCTCATGTGTGCTACAGCCGATTCCTCTCTTTGTGTTCTGACTGAGGGGCTTGAAATACACAGCACTAAACATTAATAGGTATATTAATAGGTTGGTTTCTTATACATAACAAACATCTGATGAGAGGATCTGCAATGAAAATGTTTTGATTGGCATTATTAAGATTCCTTGTGCCAATTCTATAGAATAGAAAAACATCCAGTCAAGACATTCTCGCCATAAAGTGGAAATAAGCGCTAGTACAACAGACACAATCTCAGGGAAATTTCAAATATCTTGACCACATGAGGAGCATTTGAATTATTTTCCTTTCTCATTTGAACTGAAAATGTCTTTCTATTCTTTAGTTACATTAAAAAGCTTAAAAAGTCAACAGATCAGATGAGCAATAAGATAAATCAAATGATTCTCATGTTTCATCTTTCTCATCTCAATCCAAAATCTTTGGACTGAATGGAGAGATGACTTTCTTGTTAAGGTGGGTAGTTCCTTATAGCTCCCTCATATCTGTAATGTGAAAGTCTTACAAAAGACCAGTTTTGTAATTCAGGGGCCACAGATGGAAATTAGCTATTAGCAATGTCTAGTGTAGTTAACTTATTGGGCATCGTCCCTTTTAAATAAGCACTAAAGTAAAATACAAACATAAATATCAAGCTGTGGTTCTTTTCAGGAGATGTTAAGTAGTCTGAAGGTGAAACACAGTCAAGAGAATGAGAGTGTTTGGCCTCTGGCCAGCGACGCAGTGTTGATCTTAGAAAGGGTCTAATTTGGCCTGGGGGAATCAATTAAGTGTCATATAATTCTTATTTGACTGTAGTTACAGAAGAGGGAGCTGTACCATAAGGTGCAACCCTGGAGGTCATGATATACAGGAAACTGTTTGAGAACATGCTGACTGGCAGTTTTACCAACATTTACTGTATGTCAACGGTATATACACTGTAAGGAACCACACCTTATCACAGCAAAACTGCCTTGTTTCATGGACTCAAAAAGTTGTCCATGCATGTTTATCATTACATCAAAGTAATACATGATTATTTCTGGAGATTGGCTTGTTAATGAGCTTACCTAAAAGTGATGCCAACATACAATAGATACCAAAAGTATCAGTGTATCACCATTAGCTCCAGTGCTCCATGCCAGCAATTTATATTACACCATGTTTAGGGACATTGTAAGGGGGCAGACTTTTTAGTAATTGAAATTGGCCTTCATGATACAAGGTGCTAATTAGTTTTTCAATTACCTGACTTGTTTCCGTGTTTCATGTTTCATACAAGCACCGACAAGGACACAGAGGAGGGGTTGTCGGTAGCTTCTTAGCTGCCATGCAAGTAAAGCCCAGATCAGACCAAAGATTCACAACCAGATGAAGCAGTTTTAGAAAGCTGCAGATTATATTCAGCTACAAAAAAAGTGAGACCAGAAATACAGTCGCTGCCACGACGATAATACACTGTCTCATCTAGTTGCATTGGTGTGAACCTGCAGGTTTTCAGTATAAAAAAAATCATACTTTTTTTTAACTTTTTCACATTATGTCAAACTGTTGTGACATTAGAATTATAATCATTACAACAGTGAATTTGCTTTCACTCATCTTCTTTTATGGTTAAAGTGTTGGCACGGAGTACCAGGGCAGGTGATAAAGACCAGGATGATTCAGCCTTTTTCACCAACAGGGAACCGACGCTATTCAGGTTCAAGCACCTAGTTTTGAACTGTTCAGAGCATTTTGTCCAAAATAATTTGGTTTGGAAACTGAAAAGTGGTTCCCAGCTGGAAGTTTTCCTTGGGAACCAAAGTAGGCATGTCATATTCTACAGATTGCTGTGCATTGCATCCGATTACAATGGTTCTGCTCACAACTGATGGACGCGTGGGCTGGTTCACTAGATAGCACCAAGGTTCCAAGAATCTTGAACGGAAGGACCAGAGCTAATATGGTGGTTCAAGAACCAGTGCCAGTTAGGTAGACATAAGTGAGCTGACCGACAAACCAATCTCCTAAAAACTAGTTTTCCTTTCTGCAGTCAACAGGAAGCTGGGCCCAGGTCTGCCACTGAGTCATCATGGCTGACCTTGTCTTCGCAGCTGCAGCCCAGGTCGTCTGTTCCTGCAGGAATAAGACCAGAGGCTGTTGGCCTGGAGAGCTCCTCTGGCATTGTGGGTCTGTAGGGGGGGCCTCTCAGCAGGTGGTTCAGACTGCCGTGGGTTCCATTATTGGGGGCTGGTTTCAGACCCAGAAGATCTGAGAGTGGGAGAGATCATGTTTGGTGTCAGCTAAAGGAATAATTGGACATGAAACGCCACTTATGTTGTGACTAGTCAACACACACAGAAATACGCCTTACCACACATGACATTGTAAAGCTCAATGTTTTCAAAGGCTGGAACTTTGGTCTTGTATTTAAATGAAGGTCCATACCCCAAGAAAATAGTCTGAAAATGAAAGTCAATGCCACAGTAAATAATGATTAGTCTGTCACTGTTTCAGATTTAAGTTACAATTATCTAATACTATGATGTATACTTTCCAATAATGCTCATCCTACAGGCCAACAGAATAGTATATAGAATCAAGGTATAGTCTATGTTGGTGCAGCCAGATGACTTCTTAATGTCACTGTAGATAATAAGAGTACCTGCATGCTGTTGATCTTATTGTCATATCCATGGTCACCAGAGAAGCCACAGTGCCTCTTCACTTCAGGAACCTTCCTGTAATTAAATAAAATGAATATATCAGTATTTGGTTAGCTCTTCAAATAATGGTTAGAAAATGTAAATCTAGACTTCATGGGATCTCTGAACCAACCTGGTAACCAAAATTATGTGGTTTATTTCTATATATCAAATTAAGGATGAAAGTTTGTCCATCAAAATATTGCATCTTCTAGGGTAATGGTTCCCAACCGTTTTCTTTAAGGGACCCCTTTCCCTTTCCCTCTGTCCATATTATGTTTTTTAAACAATCATACATACTTAAAAGGCTTCTTTTTTTGACATGTCATGTTTTATTCTCTCCAAATGATAATAATAATCTAAAGTTTAGAAATAACTATTACATTTAGTACAATATAATGTGATATACTGACTTCTAGGTGACCTCTTCATTAATTAACCCCTTATTTATAAAGACCTGTTGCAGGACGCTGCTGGGTCCACACAGGTTTAATGGGTTAAAATCTGGTGTGAAATACAGTTGAACTGCAGCATGTTGTCAATATTCACCTACTTCAGCACACAGCCCAGGACAACCACTCCTTCACACAACTCAAGCCACAGTCCTCTAATTGAAAAACAGCCACTTTTTATTAAGTGTCCAATAAAACACTACTTCCAGTTATACACGTTAATGTGTGTGTGTGTGTGTGTGTGTGTGTGTGTGTGTGTGTGTGTGTGTGTGTGTGTCTGTGTGTGTGTGTGTGTGTGTGTGTGTGTGTGTGTGTGTGTGTGTGTATGTCTAGGGGGTGAAGCCACAAGCATGTTAAAAATGTAAATGACTAGCTGATGGAGAAATGAGACAAACTCAGTTTTTCATTTGGTGCGAAAAAGTTAGTTGGTTTGGGATTTACGCAGACATTACTAATGTATATGTGCCTGTGTGTATGCGTAAGTGTGAGTGTAAACGCCCTGACACTCTGCTCACAGCTCCGGTGCCAACGATTAGCCCGTCTGTCTATCTGAGCTGCACAGAAACCTCAAAGATCTCTTTCATTTTGCAGCCGTGTGTGTGTGTGTGTGTGTGTGTGTGTGTGTGTGTGTGTGTGTGTGAGTGAGAGAGAGAGAGACAGAATGTAGCTCTCCCACATTTCACCAACCAAAACAGCATGACAGCTCCATGCAAGGGGACTGTTACTAACATGAGCATGCACGCCACACACACACACACACACACACACACACACACACACACACACACACACACACACGGCATGGTTAGCTGAGGTTTGTTTTCACTTTCAGTCCTGATGACTTCATGGTTTACTTTGTCACCGAATCACTGCAGTAAGACTTTTCAGCGCTCTACATCAAACGGCTGTCAGAGTTCATTTTAGCATGTCATTAATGTTTCAGCAGCTGCACTTTTGAAAAAGATGTTGGTTCGGGACACTTTTCAGCACTTCACGTGTTAATGACATTAAATGGGTTTTTAAGTAAAGCAAGATGTGCAGTAAAAAGCTCCACTGATGGGTGGGCTGAAGATGCCACATCAACACTGACTGTGCTGAACAGCACTGTCCTGGTAGCAGATGCAGCAACAAATACAGACTAAATTAGTTAGAACTTATTTCTTTCACCTGGTCAACTGGTTTGGATTTAACCTGTTGAACACTTGAACAATTGGCATGTGATTTATTTACAGTAAACGTACACTTATGAGCCACTACCTTTCTTAGCTAGGAGCATTCTATATTCTATATCTTTCTTACTTTCAGGATGGCCATCAATTGGCTTCTGAGTGGTACAGAGGGAAAGAATATACAGGTTTGTTGTCTAAAGCTGTGTAAATGTACTAGCAATGTAAGAGCCATGTTCTATGTCTTAGGACTGTCAAAACAACAGTGATAATGGAAAAAAGGCTAATTTACAGGTATTTTTGTCACTCCTCTTATTTTTTCTTACCTCCATTTAGGACAAATTTATAACTATTTTTGACAGTTCCCATCATTCTTTGCTAAGGTGCCGCTTGTCAGCCTTGCTTCCAATTATTGCCCAGTGGCAGGGGTGAAACTGGACACTGAGGGCTGAGAATTTGTCAGGCTCCATCTGAAGTCGTTCATCAATTACACTATTCAAACGAGAAATTGGCCAAAATATACCCAACCCTGAGATGTCACCACAGTCCTGCTATGCTTGCTCACATGTTCTGGTTTTGCAATTGAGATCCAATCATAATAGCTCTCGTGAGAGTTTCATTAAAACCTGGGCCCCATTTATAGAATGTATCCAAAGCATATCTTTCACTTGACACTAACTCACTTTTTCTAATGCTTTAATAAACACGAGGCAGTCAGTTAGATGCATAATCACATATAATGTCAAACTGAAATAAACAATACATGCAGTACATTTAAGGAATTGTCTACAAGCTTTTTGGATCTGCTGAGACCGTGGTGGGGTGGGGGGTATTGGAGTTCAGCACTGCTACTGTTTGAATCTGTTCTGTAAACTGAAAATATATAAATAAAGTGTTTAAAAAAAAAAAAAATGTGCCAGGTTGATGTACTGTAGTTTCACAGTGTTTTCTTCCCATATGCTTATTTATACTGTATTTGACATGTTGAAAGGTGTGCCAGCTTTTACAGATATCCAGTTTAGCTGTCACACATTGGATGGATCCAGACATATTTGGACTTCCTGTTGTTGTGGTGGTACTGTACCTGGCGACGTGCCACTTCCTCTCCACCAGCAGGTGTATATCTTCAATGCGCCGGTTGTTGGCGTAGTGCAGTCGCTTTGGCAGATGCTGCTTCAAGTACGGCTTGAAGTGCTGGTCCGCCTTCTTACACTGGAACACAGAAACAATCGTTGGTATATAGTTCCATTTTTGTGCTACAATATTATAATTGCCCCTTCCTAAGCCCCGCCCCTATTTCTCTGTGCTCCAATAACAGATGAGCAAGCCTTGGTCAGAACCTTGGTGAATGTTATATGCTACGTGCTAGGCTTGTCTGTGTTAAAAAGACAAGCAAATTGATGGTTAAAACGTTAAAAGCAACATGTGTATACTCACATCTTAAGTTAGCTAATGTTGGCAAAAGCTAATGTACATCAATTGTTACCTAGCTATTAACATTCTAAAGCTAATGCTGTCAAACACTAACTTACTTGCTAGCTAATTTACATCTGTTGTTAGTTACGTAGCTCGAGGTTCTGACCGAGGCTAGCTCGACTGTAACTGGAGCAAAACTCTCCATCAGTTCTTGTATTTCTCATCCAAGCCTAATACTTACTGTTAGATTTGCAACGACAGCCTTGGGGTCATCTGAAAAACGAATAACAGCAGTGAAAACTATTGCATGTACCATGCCTCGTAATGGAGATACTGTCCTGCATATTTTAACAGTTCACACTGAAAAATGAACTTAATGAAATTCAATTGATGGTAATGTCGACAGGACACATGAATGTACACAATGAACAAAATGTCTATTGTACAGGAACAAGAACAAGGTAAAGTTGTATCGTAGCTCTGGTCAGACACTGCACACAATGGTAGTGGTGTGGTGGTAGCCATTGTAGGTACTGTGCACACAGATCACAGGTTTTTTTCTTCTTGCCTGCTAATTATTGTGTCCTGTGTGATAATGAAGGTCTAACAGACCAAAGCTCTGAATACAGAGAAGCCTGAAGAATAAGAGGGCAGAAGTCCTGAATAACGCCAGGTATTATTCAGGATTCAGGTGTCTGAGAACATTTTCAAAGGAAGCGAAATAAAGAAACTGGAGTCCGACTGATACATTGGTCAGCCAGTGTTTTTTTAATGATGTTTTATTTGGGTTTAATGCAGATAATTGCTTGACTCAGCAGCCTTCTGAGTACCGTGTATCCACATAGAACTTCACTAAATTGGCGGCCATATCTGTAATCACTGAATTGTTCCCACCTAAAATCGGTATTGGTTTCAAACATCCCTTATCGGTCAGGCTCTACAAAAAATGAAAGAAAGAAAAAAAAAAGAGGATGAGGTCTCTCACATTTAGGATTGTTGGGGTATCTGGAGCGTATCCTGCCTAGGGACCCGGGGATGAGGACGATGTCATCAATGTTGGTCATGTAGTTACTGAGGAACTCAGTGCGATCACAGTGAGCCTCTTCCATACCTGAGAACACACCAGAGAGTGAGTGGGAGTGTGTGTGAATGGCTGGTGTAACTTGCATGTAACTTCCCTGTGTAAGGTGTAATAAAGGTGCCAGGGTGATGATGTGGTACCACAGTGTATGCTTGTGTGTATGTGCGTCTGTACCATGATCCCCCACCAGGATGATGTTGACACAGCGGTGCAGTCTCATCTGTTTAAGTCCATCCATCAGTTGGCCAACAATTCTGTCAATCACCCTCAGAGGGTTGTTCAACTGAAACACACAAAGGGAGTCAGAGTGTGTGTTTTACATACCTACATGCCCACACGCCCACACACACACACACACACACACACACACACACACACACACACACACACACACACACACACACACACACACACAGATGCAGACAGTACTCACTTCTATGCTCATGGGCCCCATTCTGTGTCCATATGTGTCTGGTTGTTCAGAGTGCATGGCGTACACGTAGGGCCTGAAACAAAATAGAGTTTGGAGATGTGTTTATAAAATAAATAAAAACACATAAAATAAAATAAAATACATGTATACATTTTGTATCAGAACATCAAGACTTTTTGTCTTCTACGCTCTTCTACACTCTCCCGTTTATCATCTAACTACCCATCAGATATATCTTTATAGCTCTTTGGAGGGGCCCGACCCCTAGGTTGGGAAGCACTAGTCTAAACTATCTTACTGTATGTAAAGTAGTTCAAACTAGCTCCACCTAAAATACACAATAAAATAAAATCCATTTTACACATTGAGGTCTACTAGCAATCTAATGTCCCAGGGGACTTTTATTTTGATACTTATAGTATATTTAGCTGATGATACTTATGTACTTTTACTTGAGTGGAAGTTTTACTGTAATGGAGTATTTTTACATTGTTGTTCACCAGTACACATCCACTGAGAATGGACTTTACTGTGATGTAGGAGACATCTTGTGTTGTGAAATGAACATTTGTATATTCATAGAGTCTGTAATTTTGAATGAGGTAGAAGGGGTAGATGCCTTTTTAAGCACTTAATAATAACACATCATTGTTTTAAGCAGACTGTATGTCTAGAGGGCATCAACTAATGGCATATGGTTCAACTGTGTTTTCCCACTCTTGCTATGCTGTGGCTGCAAATTTTGACAAAGAAAAGACAATTTGAAGCAGACAAAAAGGGCAAAGCTTATTTCACCTCTCCCCCTCAGGAAGGTGGAGCCACTGCAGCATGGTCAGTATCCGCCTCTCGAGTGGGATAGCACTGGAACACACACACACAATGAAGGGTGACACTGGTTATCATTTGAAGGAAACCATAGCTGCAAGGGAGAAAGACATAAACATTATGGTAATAGACTCTGATTCTGGTACCCTGTCGCCTTCTAGAACCATTAAACTCCAAACTGTTCCTTTAGCTCTCAAAGAGCCTCATAAAGCTGAGGGGTTGTAGAACAGAACACATTTAAAGCCCCCTGACTGTTTAAAGTGTCTGAAAGCCAAAGGTTGCCTGTGTAGTGATGAGGCCACCAACCAAGCTGCTGGCTGTCATACAGTCCACAGCTGTCAACTATCAAGCCCAGGACCGAGGCCCTGAGTGGGGCTTGGTGTATGAGGCAGTGGGGGGCAGCACGGAGGAACATGGAGGTGTGCTTACACTATGTTAGGCTCCTCTCTCCGTGATTGACTCCTTTCAACCTCCCGTTGTCTGTTTTATATACTCTCCCTTCCTTTCTTTCTTTCTCCTCTCTTCGTTCTGTCCTCCCTTGTTCTTTGCTTGTGGTTTGGTGGGGGGGACCTCCCAGAAGGCTCAACCCAACATAGACCTTCAACCAGTCAGCCATTTAGCAACAATCCCTGGTCCCCATTACCATGCCAATCCCACAGTGGTACTAGAACACTAAACTGTGAAATGTGTTGTATGAAATGTCAGCACAGGCTTCCACTCTCTGTCTCCCTGTCGTATGCACACTCTTTCTCACACACCTCTGTGGGTGCCAAGTGCAAGAAAAGCACTGTAAACCACAGTCCGGCCCCCATGATGCTATAGAGAGGTACGTCTGCGACCCCGGTCGAAAGAAGAGCCCTGCGTAGTGTAAACAGGCCCATTTGCACAAATTGCTGTAAAAACAGCCCAACGTCATCCCTCTGCTGAGATCTGCCTCCCGCTCCATCAAAGCCTTCTCTGTGCTGATAAATGTGGGCTCCTTTGTGTTCCACAGGTTATAGGTTGAGCGCAGCAGCCTCAGTGAGCAGCAGGGACATGAACGGGCATGTTCCAATGACTTTCCCCACCAAATCATTTACAGTCTCTTAATTATCAGTTAGAAGCAAGTGGTCTTTAAGGGACATTAACACTGGACATGTTTATTTAAACTCTGGAGAGTTTACTTTTGTAGTTCAGTTTCAGTCATGTGGGCTCAGGTGACATCAGGTCTGGGTAACCTGGTTCCAGATAACCTGCCTAGTTCAATTAGTAGTGAGGACATAATCCAAACCACCAACAGGAAACAGGCCCATAACACAAGGTTTTATAGGTATGAGGACATTGATGTTGCCATCAGATTAGCAGAAATGACTCTTGGTTGTAAAGCCTCCAATATCAATATAGGTCACAGTGCTCACTTTTGGCAATTTATGAACGTGGACTTAACCTGGTGCCAGACTAGATACATTAAAACAGATAGTGCATTCACAATATTAAACAAGCTACATCAGACTCCCTGCAAGTTTTGTTTACAGTCCCTGATTCACTTATCGGGCAACATGGAGAAACAGAAAAATGCCAAAGGAAACTGTTCCAGAACAGCTCAGACCAAAGAAAACACATTTTGAAGTACCCAATGACTGCGTCATGAGTTTGAAACTGTGCTGTTTAAGCAGAAGGGTGGCACAGCGAGGAGATGCTGACAACACACAGCACACACCCAGCTGTTAATGCTCATGAGCAAGGCACTCAGGTCATGTTAGCCGACATCTTAGCATCCTGCACAAGGCAGCATGTGAAGAAAGAATTTCATTATAAGGAGAAGTAAGGGACTAAACGAAAATGACTACCACAGGGAAGGGCTTTATTTAAAATCAAAAATATAAAGCCTGTCCCGTTCAGCATTATTAATATTCTCTTTGAATCAAGAACTCACACTGTGACTATTATAAACATGATCACATTGCATTTCAACACATTTTACATACTGCTTTCTGTAAAAGACAGAATGAGTTTTCCTGAGATAACCATCCATATAAGGTACCTTCATCAGTAACTGGAGGCCACTGCCTAACCTTGTCAATCCAACTATCCATGCTGTCACTCTCCGCAGGTAGCAGCAGTCACAGATTAACTACGTCTCTCACCACAGTTATGGCGGCGTCTCTAGATGGCGGAACACACAAACCGATCGCCGGATTTGTGTACAATAGAGCAGGTCTGTGTGTCTGTCTGACTGAGGGTGGGTTGAGCTACACTCAGCAGACTGCATAAAATCTAGCAATGCGCACCTTCGGCAGGGTTGTACACAGATGTGGCCATGTATATTTCTGCTTAATGTAACCTCTGTGAAACAATCCAAAAATAATGTTTTATTTCACTCTCTAGCTTGTTCTACCACCACTGCTCTCTGTTTCTCTCTCTCTCTCCGGCTGTGTTTACAGTAAGGGACAAATCCTACTTGATCCTCACAAAGGTAAAGGTAGAGGCTGCTGTGGGACAGAAGACCTAACCCAGTATAAAACTACCCTCACTCCAGCAAAAAGCCATAACCATCCCCCTTTTCTGAACCCCTCCCCATAAAAAAAAAAAAAGTCTGTTAGAAAAAACTGGAATATTATGTTTTGTCAAAATGAGGGTTTAGGGTGTCTAAAGTCTCTGCTGGGTGTAATGAACAAGCATTGTGTGGGTGTTCCGCCTGGAGCTCCTGTCTCCAGTACAAAATGTTCCGTAGAATTAATCTGTCATGGTCACATTATTAATGTAGCAAAATCTTTGATAACGGAAAAAACACACTACAAAAACATTAAAAAGAAAAGGAAGAGTGCCGCCGACTAACTGCACTGAAGGAGCGAGGCTGTGAAATGTGTTCAGGAAAAGATTTTGTGATTGAAAGCCAGAAATGTAGACTTACACAGGCCAGAAGAAGGTGGCAGCCTTCACTCCCTGCTTGAGCGCTGTGATCCAGATCTAGGAGACAAACAGTACAGTCTTATTATATTATCATTCTGATGTAATTTAGTAGGATACTATTAGAGCATTACCCTGGACACATACAAAAAATGAGAAAACCAAGGTTATGGTGTACAGTACGCTACAGTATGCTGAGAAGGATATCCCACTGTGTGTGGGTGTGTGACCCACTTCTGTTACTCCAATTAGAAATTTGATTATCTGCCCGAACCCGAATGTACCCGACACAACCCGCCGGGTTCAGGCACCTGGGTACAATGTAGTATACTTTAGCTTGTTATTTATTTATTTATTTTAAGTAGAAAACAGGTCTGGGCCCGTGCCCGACCCAATCCTGCTTCCGTGGTTTGGGCTTGCACAAAACATTTTCAGACTCAGATTTTTTTGGGCCCAACTCCAACTGATAGAAAACCACACAGTAGGTTGGTTTTATTTGATGGTTTAAGTAAACTGACAAAATCTGAAGCTCTAAAGAGTTCCAGACTACTTAATGTCAAGACCCAAAAGTGATCCCATCCAGCTGTCATAATCACATGATATTAACATCTGTTGTTGGTCAATGGATAATAAACCTATCAGACTTGGTTTGTTAGATCTGAGTCCTGCAACTCCTACTGTAGTCGACTTCAAAAGAAAAGCCTTTTCCTGCCTTTGTTGGCCTCTGATCTGTGACCTGTCAGATGAATTGGAAAAACACTAAAGCATCTACAAAAGTTATCCACTGTCAAAGCAAAACCCTTATTAGCTCACAAATAAATATACAATCGCAGCTTTGATGAACTACTAAGACTCAGCAGAGAGAGGAGAAGAGGAGTATTTACCGGCTGTCCTCCCCACCAGCGATGACTGAGTTTCTCCCGGCTTCTCAGGGTGAAGGTGGCATCAAACGCTGGGTCATACATGGAGTTGCCAATGATACCATGAGACTCTGGATAGAGACCCTGAGTGGGATTGAAACTGAAATTATGCTTGGACCAATAAGATCTCATATCATTTAATGGTAATGGAAGCCATTTCCAGTGACAATCTGGAGGAGAGCGCAGCCAAAGAGTGCTATTCTTCTTACTGATGTTATTTGTCTGTTATTTTTGCCTGCCTTCTTAATATATTTGATTTGCAACAAGGTGGCAAAAGCAAAAGCCACCGAGTTGTAACTCCAAGTCGTTCTGACAGCCACATAACTGTAATAACCACTTGGAAAAAAGGACTGAAGAGTCAACTTTCCAACAACTAAACTAAATTAGCATGATAACATATTCTTCTTCCATTCCAAGTACAGTATGTAGGAGAAACTACAGTGGAACTTGTGAAAAGAACGAATGACCCTATCTAAAACCAGAGTTTGATTTGTCTGTTCAGGGTTACTGTAGAAACATGCCGTTTTTTTCCCCAAAAAACATGTTAATCCTTAAAAAGTTATCTCCTCCTTCTACTTCATTAAAACTTCCAGAATCTGTGAATATGCAAATGTTGTTCATTTCTAAAGTGTTCCTGCTGGACACAAGATGTCTCCTCCTTCACTGTAAAGTCCATTCTCAGTGGATGCGCACTGGTGGCTTCAAGTTTCTACATCACACTGTACAAGTTGCACACTACTATTTATTGACTGACAAAACTGACAACCCGATTACTGACGAGAACATCAGTGCTCCTGTGCCATACCGTAGCCAGTGAGTAGAGGTTGGGGAAGGTTTTGGTGGGGTACACAGGCCTCAGGTATGGAGCATGGGTTCCACATGTTCCTGGAAAGGGGGACAGAGTAAAAGAAAACACCCAGATTAGCCACAAACAACATCAAATCAGTTATTGATTGTTTACTGGCCCTCATGTCTTCATAAAACAATCAATTGATCAACATAGTCCCTTTGGCATTGTACAACTTACTCAGTTTCTCGATGTTGGGTATGACAGTGTGTCCTCTCTTCACGTAAGAGGCTCGAAATCCATCCACTGACAGCATGATGAGTGGCGGCCGCACAAACCTACACACACACACACACACACACACACGCACACACACACACACACACACACACACACACACACACACACACACACACACATAAAAAATATTTAAGACATTTAAAAGAGAAAACAAACCGCACGTTAGTGAAATGTCCACTCCGAGGCTTTTGACTGATTGATTACTGATTTAACATTTTATTCTGCTGCTCAGATGTGAACGTACCCAGCAGGACATTCAGCCATCTTGATCTCATCACACGCATCCTGCAGCCATGAAGTGTCTCCTGAAAGAACATGATCAGAGGAGGCAGTGAGGGAGACACAGTGATGTATGACCACAAGCTGGCTGGTTTGGAACAGTGAGAATGAATTTCCAAATGAATACTATTTTTGGATTAAAGAAAGGAAACAAAAGTCTTTAAAGATATATCAGAAATGCTCCTATAGCCTCCAAACCTCCAAACTGAATGTGTTTGAGCACACAGAGAATTTATAAGCATTATATCTGTGTATAAATGCTACAGGCCAGTAATCAGATTTCTCCCCTACCCTCAAACCTTTCTTGGAAGAGTGGCTTTCTTATTTGAACTATAGTAGTGATAGAAGACGCTGTTTCCGGACTTGACAGACAGAGTGGAGCTTTTCCTGACAGCACAAATGTGTCTGAATAATGTTTATTAGTGAAAACTCACTTATTTTGATTTCTAGAGACTACTTTGTGATAGTTTCAGTTTTAGGCTAAGCTTTAGTGTTCAATTCTGATTTATTGCTCAGATCTGATGGGGTTTTTTGTTTGGTTGGTGACATCATTTGTTAAATGTGGCTCATTTCACATTTGCATTTGCGATCTAGCCTGCAAACTGGCCGATGCCGATATGTAGAGAGCAGCAGTAGAGAGCAGATTGATATACGATGATAATATTAAAACAAGTAGTCATATATAATTCCATTATTCCATGCACATTACAATCAATAAATATTAGTGCTGTCAAACAATTAAAATATTTAATCGCATTAATGTCATAGTTAACTCGGAATTAATCGCAATTAATCGCACATTTTTATCTATTCTAAATGTCCCCTGATTTCTTTTTGTCCCATTATTTTTTCTCATTTTAATGCTCTTATCAACATGGAAAAGTGGATCAGCTTGTTTTGTGCAAATGTTGTTTTTATTGAAAAATCATCCATTGTCGCCTGGCTTTGACGAGGGGGTGGAGAATTGCCATCAGCTGTGTGTTTGGCCATCAAGTGGTATTTCAGACTGGACGTGCTGCGATGATAGCTCAGTTCACAACGACAAAACACACAGATCACTTTGGTCTTGTCAATGGAACCATTTGGCAACTTTTTAAAAGTAAACTTTCCATTCAGAATATTATTGGCATCCATTTCGGCATATCGCGCTCGCCATCCACTCAAAACGTAACGTCTACTACTCTTAAACAAGTGTGTGCGGCGTGCCTATTGTTTTGTTTCCGGTCTTGCTAGATCTGGTGTGGTGTTGTAGTTTTTCTAACGTTACTAGTTGTTGCAACAGCATGTGAAAAAAACTACAAAGTGTGCTAGGCCAAAAAGAACGTAATCTCGCGATAAAATAATTGAGGCCGTTAAAATGGGTTTGCGTTAATGCCGTTAATAACGCGTTGAACTGACAGCACTAATAAATATATATTGTTGACTTAGCCAGTAGCATGTTGTTTCAGGTGGAATTGTTATCTTGTATCCTGCAAATGCCTAAAATCGTAAAGATATTTTGCCTGCAGATGTGTTTGTTCAATCAATCAACCTTGTGAGTGTAGGCATCAGCTGATGAAGATGATCTAAGAGTTCAGAGCTCAGAGAGGCGAGGAGCAAGATAAAATATTTGTCCTGATAACCTCAAATCTAGACAGTGAGCCTTTCCCTGCAAATCACTGTGTGTACTGTAATACAGAGCACATTCAAACATATTTAGGACATTTAAAGCTGCAAACCTTTACACAGTGTCTTGTAGTTGGTACAACAGTCTCCTCTGGCCAGACAGTCATCAGAGCAGTGGCAGGCATGTTGTTCATTTCGAGTCTCTCCACACCGATCTTTACTGCACTCATAACCTCCCTCTGTGTACGGGAACACACTTTAGTTCAAAGAATAAAAGATGTTCACTCAAGAACCAGCAGGGACCAAAAACCGTAGACTTTAAAACCAAATCTGAAGGATTAGTGCTGCAACCGCAAGCACTGAGAAATGAAATCTGATATATTAACGTTACAGTGGTTTGGCTGCATATTCTTACAGCTGAGCACACCCGCAGTTTGGTACAAACATCGACATGTATTCTGGCAAAATTCACAGCACGAGAACAGCAAATGAGAGTTGTAGCTTAAAAGTGGGATTTGACACTGTCAGGGTAAAAACATGACTACAAGCAAGTAATTGTCATTTTTGGGCACAGGCAGGGTTACAGTGGCAAGGCAGTGGTAAGCCAAAGACCACCAGGATGAAGGAGAGAACATAAAATCAGACCACCAACACTGGAAGGAGTAGGGGGAAATGTTGACAGACCAAGAGAGAGAAGGCAAAAGGAACAGGGAGAAACAGCAACAAACAAGAACAGCTTGCATTATAAGTTAGAAACTTGTTCATTTCCTGCTCATACAACGAAACACCTGGAGAATCAGACTTAAGAATGTTATCTAGATGTTTATACGTCTTGATTAAAAGGTTCAGCAAAAGTTTTTTTCAAATGAGAACAATAATTGGAACTCCCCAATGTTTAAGAAATGTCTGTAGCTCTACCAGAACAAACATCATTAAGCCCTGATAGTCACTTTCTTGGCAGATATAAAAACAATTTGATCCAAAATAATCAGGGTCTGGCTAAATGGCTCTACAGCATGGCAACACACTGTACAGTACAGTTATGACCAACACTGTAGTTCCTAATGAAGGCAAAGGAACGTAAAAGTACCACACTCTAAAGACACTAAGTAAAAGTATCCAAGTAACTTTAGCTGAATGACCTTAAAGGAAATAGTGGTGTAGTTGTTGACTGCCAGACCCTCGCCTCACCCTCCTGTTCCAAGTGTGTGGGAGAAATGTTGATGATGTATTAATGTGTAAGTAGGATTTTACAGTTGTAGTTGCTTGAGGTGGAGCTAATATGTCATATATATTACTGGTTCCCAACCTGGGGGCCCTGACCCCCACAACGGGTTCCCAAAGCTTCACAGGGGGGTCACAAGCTTAAAAAAATATAGACAGCAGGCCTATATCTCAGCATTTTGGTCAAGTACTCCAAATCCAAATCTCTGGTTTTACACAAACTTCCTGCAGTTATTGTGTTCACTGTTTGGGTCCATTGTACAGTTTATCTCTACTGTTATTGTTATGCATTAAATCTGATATAAAATATTTCATATATTTCAATGTTCAACATCTATCTGGTGAAAACATGGAATAATACTGTAAATCAAGAGCATCTTGACACATTAACACATAAAAGTCTCATTACATGGCTGATTTCCCGTTTAGCTGGTAAAAAATTCCCGACCACCTGATGGATATTAAATGCCGGATGTCCAAGGATTTCCTGCTGCTTAATGACAAAAAAATCTGAGACTGTTTTATTTGGCCTCTCCGACCTGACCTGCCCCATCAAGAGAAACCTTGATCAAACTCACTGCCAAGAATCTGGCAAGATTCCTGTTTTGCTCTGCATTAGGAATATTTCTAAAATTAAATGGTGCCAGTGAGTTTAAATCATGATACTTTTTAATGCTCAAAATAACAGAACATATAACACTAGGACAATGTTTGGTGTGTCTGGTTTCAACAGCTACATTTTGCTCTTGAAGATAAGACGGGATAAAAAGCTACACAGAAAGAAAAACCTAATCAGCAGGGAGGATGATGAGTACCTGTCCTGAGGCAGAGCTGATCGAAGTCCGAGCAGCAGCCGTTGTAGGTCTTACACAGGTTGTCGCAGCGACAGTTTGGTGGCTCCAGCTCAACCAGCTCAAAACACCTGTTCCTGCAGGAGCCGGAGGTCGCCACGTACTGAGACGCAGAGCGGGCTGAGGACCAAAGACACAGAGATTCAGTCAGCGTTGACAAGAATACACTTTTATCTTATTCGTATTTCCTGCTGCAGGACGAAGCGACAGAGGTTTGCACTTTGGTGTCTCCAACCGCTGCTGAAACCTTCTGAAAACTGTTTGAACTTCAGCATCCCAGCAGTAACTGTTCCGCCGTCTCTCGCTATCAGTCAAATATATGTCCAAAATATTTTGAATATATATAAATGTGAAAATCTGTTGCCTTTTGTTACACATATTTGAGGTCTCATCCTTAACTCAGTAGCATATAAAGTCAAATGTGATCTGACACAACTAGCTAACCCCTCTCATTCCATACCATGTTGACAGCTGGACAATAATTCAAGTATCTCTTAGTTCTCCTGCTGGACACAAGATGTCTACTACTTCACTGTAAAGTCCATTCTCAGTGGAGTAGTTAATGGGGAGATTTGGGGGATAATTGTGTGTGTGTGTGTGTGTGTGTGTGTGTGTGTGTGTGTGTGTGTGTGTGTGTGTGTGTGTGTGTGTGTGTGTGTTTAGATATAAGTTTGCAATAATCTTCCCTCTCAAAATCATCCTACATTCTGCTTTACTAAGAAATGTGTTGATGGTTTTATTATGAAAGCTTAAGTCGCTGTGGCAGTAAACCACAGTCCCTAATATATAGCTCCCAGTGGCGGCCACAAATGTCACTGCTGATGAACTTAACACTTTTCACGTGTGAGTTCCAAAACATTAACAGTGAACTGGGAGGATATTTTGGCATTTGGCCAGTGGGTGCAATAAGAAAATGAGAAAAGGCATCTTTAAAGCATAAGGTCCAAAAAAATGAATGACTGGCTACACTGTTCATGTGTCTTTAGAGGAAATGAAAAGTTTCAACCTGTACTGACCTGCTGTCGTAAATACGGCATAATTATAACATACTACAAAACAAACACTAAAAATAGCTGCAATTCAATTCATTTTTTTCTTTGAAAGTATTTGTGACAAAGTGTCTGTAAGCTGTGTGCCAAACTCAACCATTACCAAACTTTAAATCCTCTCAAGCTGTGGTAATTCTATCTCACCCAGGGGACGCTCCGGCTCCCTACAACACAATAACGCTCTTGTCCACTGAGGACCCAAAGGACGATGGCCCTGTTTAGATCCCGGTGCGCAGTGTGAGAAGCCCCTGTCTTAACTGAAGACATCCTGGAGATCTGAGAGCGAGACAGAGCGAACTTATTGCCACATTTGGAACAACATGCTCCTTGTCCACCACCTCAAGAAAAAACAACCCCGCTCGCAGAGAAAACCAGAGGATGCCAACAGGAGATTTTCAGCACGCGTCCGTGTGTCTGTGTGTGGACATACTGTATGTGCGTGCATGTGCATATGTACTCTGCCTGGAGGAACTGAGGTGTTTTAATACTTTAATTATTTATGCTGCTGAGCTGGTTGGCACAGCACACTCGTGGTACAGCATCAATCCCCTCTTCCCTATAAGACTGACTGCTGCTCTGTCGCTGTGGCTGTGGAGGTCAAAGGTGAAAAGTTTGGATGTCTTTTTGTCTCAGCTTATAGGCTCCATGAGTTTGTTTGGTTATTTAAGAATAATGAGAATTATACTTAAAAGGGGATGACGTGGTCAAACTGACTGAGATGAGAAATGAGTGAGCATGATCCCAGCTTTGATCCAGGACCACCATCTCGCTACCCAAACTAGGAGATTTCACTCAGAAGCTGAGGATTTTCAAAAAGCAAATGTTCTAAGCAACTTTTAGGATGGAAAGCAACAAGGTTAGGCAGGTGTATTACGAGACTGAAAGATCTGGAAAAAGCTAGTAGGTGTTTTTTGTTCTGTTTCCAAAGTCAACAATGAATCATGCTCAATAGGCCTTTTTCAATTTGACTTGTTAAAGTACATTAATATTAACGATGTCTCAGTAAGCCATAGCAGTGACTGATGTTCCTCATATAAAAACTAAGCGGCAACAATGGAAGTGTCAAAACCTGCAGTTCCTCAAACGGCCAGTAGAGGTTAGCTACAGAAGTGAGTCAATCTCCTTAAGGCCCCATATTAAACTTTACAGCAGAAATAAATGTAAATGTTTACAGCTTGGTACAAAAATCCGGTTTGATCTCTATCGCTGATTTCCCTGTTCATGACCCACCAGTTATTATTCATTATCATAGTTATTATTATTATTATTATTATCATAATTATATTAAGGCTTAAAGTTGTGCATAACTAAGGGCGGGGCCGCATTGAGTGACAGGTGGGTGTTTTTAGTAACCAGACTTCAATCAGCCAACCTCAGCTCCAACCACACACCTCTTATTTCTGGGTTAGCCGAGAGCCAGCGGAGTCAGGACTGCCAAGATGGCGATGGCCAGAGCCGACCACACTGAGAAACCTGTGGCTGACATCCATGTTTGGTGCAGGATTTCTTCCTCACCGTTGCTGCAAAAGCGCTCAGTACTGCCTCTGTAGGCCAGGTGAATTACACATGGTTTGTTTCCACTTAAATGGGAAAGTAAATCCTGCTCCTTTTTTTTCCATTTTACAGAAGACTGACTGAAGCAGATGGCTTGCCCTCTGGTGAGTTTGTATTTTACATGTAACAAATTTTATGATCTGAATGACTCAGATGTCCAGGTTCTGACAGATGGTGATCCAGGACTGTGATATGTAGAATGACAGCCCTGCATCAGGGCTAACACTACCCGTAAGCGTTCAGAGATGGAACAGAGTATTGACTATACTGTGTTAAATAGGTTGACAGAGTATGGAATTTGCTATTTCATTTTGTAATGAGGAATGGAGCTTCAACCTGTTTAGCCATTGACTAGTTAGGGTTAAGAATTGTATTTTGTAAAAACAAAAACCCTTGTCTTGTTTTTAGAGTAAACGTTGTATTCAGCAAAAACTATTTTAAAAAGAGGACTGCTTTCTTGCTTTGGGTTTATGGTGATTTACCACCCTGATGAAGGCAAGATATCCTGACAACAGATAACAGATAACCTTTAGTGAATAAAGCATCGGAGAAGAGTTGTGAGGTGTGTTTTAATTTTCCTGCAAATCCACACTCATGGTGTGCACAAATTCATTTCTTTCTTTTGCCATATTGTAGCAAAATAAACAGCAACCGAACTCCAGAGAAGACTGCAGCTGCAGCCTGTTGCTATGACAATCTACAGACACAGCGAGGCAACCCTCTCCCCTCTCATGCAGACAGGGTTTGAGAACCTGGAGCAGAAAATGAGCTCCAATGCTCTCTTAATATTGACTCAAGGTAGAGCAACACAAACACACTCTCTCTCCTCGAAAAAAGCCCCACGCAGGTTGCCCAATCACAGCCTCGCAGGGTCACAGTGATCCGTTGTAACCCCCGCCACCACGCGCTCTCTGCTGCTCGCTCATTTCATATGCGCTGGCAGACACTTCATATAGAAAATAACCCAGCAAATAAACGGAGCAGGAGAAATTCCTCAGGAGCTGATGTGGAAAGTTGCCTCTCATCTTATTGCATGTTGTTCATGTTCAGAGGAGCGGTCTTGGAGACAGCCGGGGGTGGACGTGTGTCACTCCGGTTGATGTCGGGGTGACTGATTGCACCTGAAGCTCACATAGGGTTCAAGATTTACTCAGTTCTAAAAAAAACTCTAAGTTGTTTTCTGCGTGTGTCTTGGACCTGGAGCGTAGCTTTAGGCATGTCCTACCTGCACTTAGCCAAGATACATTAACACAGGTCCAAAACACACTTCACATGACCCGTGCTGAGCCACACTGACAACTTAATTAAAGTATGGGCCTTTTTCTCTGGTTTTCTTTGCTGAACACATATGTCTTGTTAATGTATGCTTTCACATAAACTTAAAGGTTATTAGATTTAAAACATTAATATAACAACAAACTATTTGCTATGTATAGCTGAGTCATGGTGTCCTGAGCAGAGAATGGTGTCACTCTCACTCTGCCTGTGTTGCTATCAGCCTCTCTGTGGTTTGTTTCCATAGCCGGTCTGCTCCGTGAGCCGCTGAGTAGAGCCACTGAAACTATCATCTATGTGAATTAAGGATTTATTTTGACCAAAGCAGACTTAGTGATTATGGAACAGTAGAAAGACTAACAAAGACTGTTTTTGGTGAGTTTTGTTTTGTTTCTGTCCACTTTGACTGAAGTTATGATGATATGCAGGGTAAAAGATTTTTGTCTATGGAGTCTGGTGGGAGACAGCAATATTATGGCTATCAAGGTCTATCTCTGTAGGGATCATTTCCTTAATGTTGTCTGACGCTTAGAACATAACAGTCTGAGCCTGACAGTGGCAAAAACAGCAACTTTTAGTGGATGTAGCTTACATTGCAGCTCTTTTCACAAATATATTCACTATTCTAACTATCTAACTCTGTGAATTGAGGGATTTATTTGGACCACACCAGAGGTGGTGATTGTTGGAAAGACTGTGTAAAGACAGTTTGTTTCTGGTCTGATATATCCAGATATATGATATGTATACATCTAGTGGTAAGTGAATTTTGTATATATAACCTTTAACACACCTTTGTATTGTTCTCATTCATTTTACCACAGAAAACATTCTTATAGTGTGATGATGTAAGGCTATTGATTCATAATTAATCAATGAATTGCTTTTTCAGACTTGTGATGTAATGCGTCTTGGTCTAATGTTATACATACAGCTGGAATACTCAATTGTAGCACCAACTACCCAGCATCACACTGATACACCAGTTTCTCTTCAACACAGCAGAAAACAACTTGTAAATAAAACATTCTTTAAGCAGAGCTGAAACAATGAATTAATTCATTGATTGACAGAAAATGAATTGGCAACTGTTTTGATAAGGGATCGGTCAGTTCCAAGCATAAAATGACAAACATTACGTTCTTTTCTAAAACATTTAAAGATGAATGAATGACAATGAATCAAATTAATTAATAATGAAAATAATCTATTGTTTCAGCCCTGCTATAAAGGACCCAGGGGGTAAATGGTAAATGGACCTGTATTTGTATAGCGCCTTTTGACCACTAAAAGCGCTTTTACACTACATGCCACATTCGCCCTTTCACACAGTGATGGCTATCAAACTGAAACTAACTCTTGCTCAAATCTTCACTTTCCAATCATATTGTATTTCACATGATGTGAAACTGTATTAATGCCTAACGGAAAGGAGAGGCTCTTTTTGCTGAAATTCTATTACACCAAAGGAAAACATGGATCCCCGGGTCTTCTTCTAACACTTGAAAATCCAGGTTCACAGCTTACTCTTGTCAGTTTGATACTTTTCCCTTTGCCTATCTTCCACAAGGAAGTCAGAGGTCAAGGTGGAAGGGATTCACAGTCTTCATGGCCACCCCAGTATTGTGTGACTGTTCAGGGTCAAGCAGTTTAAAGATGTTCTCTTGTGTTTCCAGCTTACTCACACTCTGTCCTGGATGAAGTCCCGTCCTCTCCGGAGCGCTTGGGCCGGTCGTAGGAGAATCCCCAACACACATCAGTGCCACACAGGACTGACAGGATCCAAACGAACTGAGACAACAACAACAACATACTGGACATTAGAACATCATTTATAGAACTGCTGCACAGGCTTATCAAAGGACAAGAGGTTTATTCTCCATTAGACAATATACTACACAGTACTTCTTAAATATTCTTGTCAGTTCTCCCTGTTTGTTTTTATGTAATATTACTTTTTTATTTTGGAATTGGTTGGTCTTAAAAAAAATAAACAGTCACTGAGCCTTCTGTAGGCTGCAACAATATTTTCAAATTAACATTTTCCAAACTTTATGAAGCATAAATGAACACTTGAACACACCACAGATTCATAGAGCCCTTCCTTCACTGCAGTTGGTCTAACACAGGTCCTGCTCACTGCATTTTCTCGATGACCTGTCAAGACTGCTGAGGTGCTTAGTTCAAAGTGAATGGGGACCACCCGCATCCGCATAACAATCGCCTTTGATAGTTTGACGAACGGACAGAATCTGCAATTGTTCTGCAAATGCTCAGCAGCAGGAAGGAGGGAGGAAAGAAGGGGGGTTTCGGGAAACAGAAGCCAAGGAAACCAGGAAAATGTCCTTTCGGCCACAATGAATAACGCAAACTACTAAAACACACGGCTAAATGCGCAATTACGCACGGGTTTACGCACAGCCATGTCTATATTCAGAAGGGACCTACAGCTCAAACTTGTAGGCACGGACTCTTACCGTACCAGTGTCTGCAGCAACATGTCCCTCTCTGTGCCGGGCTGAGCGTAGTCCTGAGTGCTGTAGGTCGGAGAGTGAGTGATGCTGATTCCGAAGCCGAGGGACCACCAGAGAGGAGGACCGTTAAAGAGAACAGGAGGGAGAGAGGGGGGGAGGTGACTGAAAGGTGCGCACCGGATTCTTATTGGTGTTGGGCAGGAGGAGGGCTCTTATCTGAGCCAGGATTTACATGATACAGGACAGTGCCTGAAGTGGACCAAATAATGTGCTCTAATTCAGCTCAACCCTGACCCTAAACACAACATAACCCCAAGATGAATTCTTTTGGCGTTTTCATCCATTTTAACATTTTCACTGCTGTTGTCTTGTAGAGGTGTTTGGTGTTGCTCACCAGCATTGCTGTACGCAGGAGAACTACAGAGGTTGAGAAACGGAACTTGTGAGAGCAATTATCGCATGACTTTTATTGTATACCCCCTGGGAGAAATACTGAGGTCCGGACCTTGGTGACCTCAGTGGTGGCGGTACCCAATAAGCGGTAAGGGTTCTCGTGGACAGAAGAGCCGCTACTGGTGAGTCCCTGCCCATTACAGGCAGTGGTACGGGGGGCAGGAAGGAAGATGAGGATTTAATTGACTTCATATGATCAGTCTGCAGAAACCCATAGTGTAGAGGTCGCGGCAGATGCCTGACATATATCAGTTTGAATGAATTCAATGAACACAACTGTATGAACAGCAGCAATAGGATTCCACTGCGGCTTCAGCAGATATTATCAAAGACCTCTAGTCTAATCTATAAAGACTAAACAATAATAAATAATAAATAATAAACATATTAAAAGGTTGTTTATATGTACTCAACCCTAACCTATAATAATATTCCAGAGGCAGCGGTTGTTGGCGGCAGTATCTGTATTTTCCACACTGGTTCTAGTTCTGGTTCTTCGCTGGGGAAAAATAATATTTTCTCTTTTGCTCATTAACACAAAGCGTTAATAGTACTGTCGCTGCTATTTAACCATACGCAAAATCATTTCTTGCTGCAGAGCCTGCACATTGCTAAAATGGCACATTCTGCCTCCTTTAGCGCCATATAAGATATTCAAAGTAGTTTAAAATATATGTTTATTTTAAAATGTCTTTGAATAGGTTCCCGCCTAGTGATGTCAGAAATCAGAACCTGCAACCATCCATTTTCCTTTGATGTCTAATTTGAAGTAAATACCTCATGTGACGCAATCAGAGGCGGGAATTTGAGGGCCACCATGGTTAGATTTCTGCCAGACTCCTGACACCGTCCACAGCAACCCAGCATGCCTTTCTTTGAGGGGAGAGCAGGTTATCAGACACAACAGGGACACGTACTAACAGACATTAGACTAGACGAGACTTGACAGCATGTTTGGCGGGAGGAAAACCGCCCCCCTTCAGGAGTACCAGGAAATAGAGAACATGAGAAATCGGGAGTCAGTGAGGAGGTTGGTGAAGTGGTGAGGAGCGTTAGTGAATCGGAGTCAAGCATTAGTGAAGCAGGGCTGAGCGAAGGTGAAATGGGGGGGGGGACTTCAGCGAGTCGAGCATTGGTGAGGTTAGGATCGAGAGTTCGGTAAGATAGATGGGGCGTTCATGAAATACAGTCAGAAAAGTCTTTGAGCGATGTCCCTGAGGCAGTTATGGAGGACAGGAAAGAGCGACACCCTAAATGGAAGTTTCTAAAGAAGCTTGAGTTTTGGAAGAAGGAGATGAACACTATTCAGCCTTGTTTTCAGCCCATTCAGCCTATTGAGATTGCTGAGGAGACCTTGCTCCAGGACTTGGAGAACAGAAGAGAAAGGGTTTTAAGTGTCTCTCATAAGACAGAGAAGTGTGGAGATGCGGAAGTGAGATGGGCCAGGACCCAAAGTAAGGAATCTGTTCAGAATGAGGGGAAAACGCTCTGTGAAGACTTCATAGTCAGTCCACAAACAGGGGCCCTAGTGAGGTCAGCTCGCTAGAGGGTAACAGAACCGCCTGAATCTAAGCAACACGTGAGCGCCCTCGCAGTTTAAACTATAGCTTGACAGACCTGGAGGACGGGTCTGCAGATCTAAATGGGAGCAGGCCAGAGGACGACAACAATCTGGATGTCCCTCCAACCTGCAGCGAGGTGGAGGAGGACGATGAAGGCAGGGTGTGAGAAAGGGTGAGCAGGATTCCAAGAGTCTCCAAAAGGTGAATGGGAGCCAGAGTCCTTTTTCCCTGTTAAGCAAGTTTTTCCCTCAGGATCGAGGGTCATATGCTGTACAGATTGGGATTTCTGATATTGGGCTATATGAATAAAATAGACTTTAGCCCTAGGTAAGTCAAGATAACTACATCAGGCTATAATGACTGACTGCTGTCCCTGCGACAGGCCATAGCTGTGTGCTGTGCTGTGCTTATGGCTGTGGTTGTTGTATGGATGGGGGTGTTGTGGTTAGGTTATTCCTGAACTCCTCTGGTGTATATTGGTAACACGTGTGTCCATCTGGTGGAAGTACAGGTTCGCACACTGGTGGGAGTGTCCGGCTTTACAACGCTGTCTTGGCCAATGACACCATCTCAGGTGCTGTTAAGAGCACTGATGGGGAAACTCAGCAGGACAAAGCACCACTGAGACATTTTCCTCTGTTCCTGTTTGGACTGCAACTAATGATTATTCTGTCATCATTTCATCGATTAATCAATCAGTTGTTTGGTCCATAAAATGTCAGAGAATTGTAAAAAATGTCTCACTAGTTTCCCAAAGCTCAAGCTGTCCTCTTCAAATCTTATTTTGTCCAAACCCAAAGATAAAGTTAGTTTACTTTCACAAAGGACTAAAGAAACTATATGAACTATGTGAAAATATTCACATTTGATAAGCTGAAATCAGATCATCAATACGTTTTCCCTTCTGCACAAATATATAAAAAAACACTTTTATTCAATTTATTTAAAAAAACAATAAAATCAACAAAACTTGAACAAAAATTACAACGTAGAAAATGTGAGGCCCGGGTTCCTCAGTCAAGTCGCATCCTTAATTTTCCACAAAGTTTGTGAATTCTGCTTTAAACTGGTTAAACTCATTGTCTCATAGCTTTAAGCAGATTGTTGTTTAACAAGAGGAACAAACAGGCGGACCTTTTACTTTAAACAATGAACAGTTTGCAATCCCAACCATCAGGGTAAATCTCATATCACACTGGAGACAAGGGTTCCCAGTATAATGCACAATAAATGCTGACAGTGACTCTTTAATCAACGTCAAGATTCTTTTTTACTGTTGAATTCAGGCTGATTAAATAAGAAAACCGTTTTTTTTACCACTTTGAATCACACTTTTGATACCCCTCTGGTTATCTAAATGGGGAATATGGAATTCTGCATGTTCTTTTCTTTGTTTAAAACCACCTAATCAAGCCTAAGAAACAGTGCCAGAGTAAACCCAGCCTCAGATGCCTTTGTGGAGCTGGATTCAATCTAGTGAAAACATTCATGAATACAAAAGCATCTTTAATCAATGATGACAGTCGGGATACAAAAAGTATTAAAAAACACACTAGTATTACGTGATTACTCAATCGTACAGCGCAGTGAAATTCCTCTGTTTAATTTCCATCTGTGAGCAAACAGGGAAATGTCATTTGCAGGGTGTTAAAGACACCGGAGGCTCAGTCCAGACAGAATGGTCAAACCCACACCACGATCAATCATGTTTCCCCTCGGAAGCCGCTCGCTCAATGTTGGGATTGAGCTGTGGGGATGAGGCACACCAGAGTGGTGTCTACGTGGGGGGGGGTAAAGTGTATGAGGTTGGCTTAGGCTGTATTTGCCTGTTTGTGGAGAGAGGTGTATGTGGTTGCATGCCTCAGACAGCTTGGAAGCAGTGTAAAAAGTCCAGAGTCTCCCAAAGGCTGTGTGTGTCTGTGTGGTGCCAGGACACAAGGACGCCTCTGGTGGGTTTACCTTAATGACATTGCAACCTCAGTTCAGAGTTCCATGCTTCCTCTCGCAGGCCAACATGCACTGCTGTTTCTGCCGAGGAACTGACTGCTGCCGTCTAACTGAGGAACAGAAGACATAGCATCCGTCTCTTTCACACTTTCTCCAAATGTGTCTTCCTGTACGATAATACTGAGTAATGAATATTTAGATCAACTAAACATGTTTTGCTGTCCATTCTGTGTCTCCGTACTCACAGGGGTGCAAGCCTGCTATTGCAAGATGGATGTATCCTGTTAACCCTGACTGGCACAATAGACCCTAACTCCCCTTCCAGATGTTTTAGTCAGACAGAGACGGTGAGCGCAGCGACCTGCCGCTGGCAGGGCTGTTGCTGTAGGCGTGGGAGTTGTCCCTCTCTCTGTCCTTCTCCTTGTCTTTGCTTTCGTGTTTGTGCTTATGCTTGTGTTTGTGCTTGTGCTTCTTCTTCTTCTTCTTGTGCTCGTGGTGGTGGTGGTGATGGTGGTGGCCGTGTTCGCTGCTGTGTTTGGAGGACAAAGAGGGGGTCTCTTTGGAAAAGGACGGCACCGGTGTGGCGGGCATGGAGAGCATGGACTGCTCGACTGATGGCGGCTCTTTACCTAAAAAGAGAAACAGAACAAGTGTGTGTGTCTCCAGGTTTTGGGTGTTTTTATTTCTTTATGTAAGAAATATTCTGTTTGTGTGTGTGTGTGTGTGTGTGTGTGTGTTTACCTGGTGTAGAGGGTCTCTCTAACAGATTGAGATGATGGTGAATGAAGGCCTGACTATCATGAACAGTCTCCATATCGATATCTTCCTCCTCCATGGTGTTGAACTACAATGAACCAGATAACGGTAATAAATTGATTGCTATATTTTGCAAATGTTGTATCGATACACAGATGCCAAGAATCAATTTTAATTCACTTTTATTATATAAAGTATTAATATTGCAAATACGAATTAAACATTTTGGTACAAGAATAATTGGCTGTCAGGTCACATTTATGACAGCTTTTTATATTAGTGTAGGTCAGTCTGTCTGCTCGACAATGCCATTTTGATGCAATAAAAGAGATTGTTAAGTTCTTAAGTATTGTTATAATATTTTGTGATTTAAAGGTCCAGTGTGTAACATTGAGGAGGATCTATTGTCAGAAATGGAATATAATA